ACCTTCGACGGTTTCGATTCGATCGAACCGTTCTATGTTATTATCGACCTCGATGAGAGATGGGATCTCATCATCGGGATGTCCTGGCTGGAGTCCCACCAGCCATGGATTGACTGGAAGGCCAAATCCGTGCACAAGGTTACTTGGCTCAACGCGAGCCAACCCTGGATTCATCGGCGGGCTGCCGATCGCCTTCCCCCGTCCACCACCAACCCACTTGGTCCTCCCCTAGAGGCGATGAGTAATGATCTCGCCTCTCCTAGCCCCGCAGTGCGCTCATTGGCCCCAGCGCCTGCGGCTCCAACGGACCCAACCACGGTGTTGCACAACACCCTTTTCGTGCCCCCAACAGAGTCGTCCTCTGTTGTTATCGGTGAGGATACGTTACCGCCCCCGATAGTTGCATCGACCTTAGCAACCACGTTTATCGAAGAAACCTGTAACTTGCACGAACTCCCTCGGACGTCTTCCGAGATCCTGGCACTGCCAGAGATGAGCTTCCACTCGCTCGTGGAATCTCTCCGCGCCCACGATATTGCCGCCTTGGCGATGATCACAGTCGAAGAAGAGATGGATCTCTTTTCGACCTCGACCGCTGATGACTCGGTCCTCGCGGCTCCTTTGAAGTCCCAGACGTGGGACTCCCTACGATCCAACCCCTACTTCGACCTCCTCCAAGAATTTGAGGACGTCTTCCCCGCCGAGGTACCGTGTCGCCGCCTCCCGGTCGACAAAGGCGTTCAACACAAGATCGACCTCGTGCCCGGCGCAAAGTATTGTGTAACGCGGCAATGGCAGCTTCCTCGCGACCAAGTCGATGCCATCGACGCATTCTTCGCGGCCCGCAAGGCGGCGGGTCACGTCCGCGAGAGCATTTCCCCTCACAGCAGCCCGACCTTCTGTGTGAAGAAGCCCGGTGGGAAGTGGCGTATTGTACACGCCTTTAACAAATTGAACGCAGCCACGATTCCGGCTCAGACGCCGATTCCTCGCAAGGACGTTATTATCGACGTCATGGGTCGATCCACCATTTTTTCCACCATCGACCTTCGCGATGGCTTTTACCAGATCCTGATGCATCTATGTAACGTCCCTAAAACGGCGGTTTCTACGCCGAGTGGCATGTTATGGGAGTGACTGGTCATGCCACAGGGTCTGTCCAACGCCCCGGCGACGTTCAATCGTATGGTTGCCGCGAAGTTTCGCGCGTTTCGCGACTTCGCACCGTCATACTTCGACGACATTTATGTTCACAGTTGCGCGTCCTCCACGCAATCTGATCTCGACGTTCACCGCGGCCACCTCCGCAAGGTGCTTGAAGTCCTCCGTGCCAACGGACTATATGCCAACCTCGCCAATGTATGTTTGGCGTTGACGAAATCCCGGTCCTGGGGGATTTAGTGGGGTGAACGGATGACGGGCTGATCCCGAAAAGATCAAGGCCATTTCGGAGTGGCCTATCCCCTCCTCCGTCAAGGATCTTTGTCGCTGGCTGGGCCTTGCGACGTACCTGCATAAATACTCGCGCAACTTTGCGGACATTGCCCAGCCGTTGTTTCGGCTTCTCCTCAAGGACGCCCCTTGGGTTTGGGACTGCGCTCACCGACCCCGTTTCCCCCAAACCCCACCTAGCTTAGTCGGCCTTGTACCGCTTCGCCCTCGCCGATGGGCTTTTGATGTTTCAACCCACCGCGGACTCACCACCGCGCATTGTCGTGCCTGGTGACGCGCAACTGCGCCTCACTCTCCTTTGATCCTACCATGACTCCCCCAGCGGCGGCCATTTCGGCCGCGACAAAATGCACGCGATCCTGGCGCGTTCATACTGGTGGCCCCGTATGTATATAAATCCGTTGTGTGCTACGTCGCTCATTGCGACGCTTGCCAGCGCACTAAAATCACCGCCTCCTCTCGGGCTCCACTCCAACCTCTGCCTATTCCCGACGAACTTTGGTCGTCCGTCAGCATGGACTTCATGTCTGGCCTGCCCCGCGACGCCCGCGGCAACACCGGCATTATGGTTTGTGTCGACCGCGCGTCGAAAACGTGATTGCCGTCCCCGTCCGGGACACGCTGAGCGGCGCGGATGCCGCTCGCCTCATTTTCGACCACGTTTTCTGTCGTTTCGGCCTGCCTCACTCCATCGTTTCGGACCGCGACCCGCGGTTCACGGCGAAGTATTGGTCCACCCTATTTGCTCTCTGCGACACTTCGCTCGATATGTCGACTTCGGATCACCCCGAGTCCGACGGCCAAACGGAACGCGCCAACCGCGTCCTCGAAGATATCCTCTGGAGCTACTCCGTCTCCACCGGTTCCTCTTGGGCTGTCACGCTACAGCACGCGGTTTTCGCTTACAACGCCTCGGTTCAGGCGTCCACTGGCTTTTCGCCGCATTATGCGGTCCATCTCCAACACCCCCGCCTCCCTCAAATGCTTGATGGTTCGACCTCAAGTAGGGGTGGAAACACCGCGCGGCCTGCAGGCGTACTTTCCAACGCCCCCAGCCGCACTCTCCAAACCATTCAGAGTTTCCTCTCCCGTCGCGCCTCTGTTATGCAACAGATCCATGACAGCATAGCTGCCGCTCAGCAGCGCCAATCCACTCAAGCCAACAAACATGGCCGCTATAACCTCGCGTCCTTCGCCGTGGGCGACCGAGTCCTCCTCCACAAGTCGGCGGTGCCCGCCCATGCATTCCGCACACGAGCGGTTGGAATGTCTTCCAATGTCAAGCTACGCAGTGCTTGGCACGGTCCCTTTGCCGTCCTTCGCGTGGTCAGTCCCACCAACTACAAACTTGACCTGCCTACCTCATGGCGGATCCATCCAACATTTTACGTGGGTAAACTCAAACGTTACTTAGCGTTATTACCTACTCCTACGACCGATGAAGTAACGGCAACCGATCCTTCGGATCCCGTGGCGGCTCCTCCTCTTCCGCCGCCTCCGACTTCTCCTCTTCCTCCGACTCCCCAGCTGTCGCCGTCCCCGACATTGGCACCACCACTTGTTGCGGCGCCGCAATCGCCCGCGCTCCCGCCCGATAATCTGCGGCTGCTTGCCGCTCCGCCGCTGTCAATTGACCGCCCTGTTGAGGTCCCGACGGCGGATTATTCCCCGCGAACGGATTCGTCGGCCGCGCCGCCGACAATCGCGCAGCCACCTGCGCATCTTCGCGCGCCCACGTCGAGGAACTCGCCGTTGGCGAAGCCCATACGCTCGACCAGGCGCTCGCAGGGAGCACCGAAAACCCACTTGGCGTCACCCGCGCCCCTTGCACCGGCGCCGCCACCGACATCGTCGCTTGCCCCCGAGGGGTGAGCGCCCTGGTACTGCCGATCGCCCGCGGGAGCGACGGGTCGACAGTTCGCTGTGCGAGTCGGGCCAACTACAACTTGGCAATCAGAAGATTATATGAAGCAACACTTACCTCAGGTCCGCGCCGCATATTTACGCGGGCGGCGATCCTCGCGACAGACCGTGCGTCCAAACGCCCATGCTTCTGTTGCCGCACCCCGGCAAAATTAGATAGCGAGTTGGCCAACCGCCCCGCTGTCAGCGGCAACTGCCCATGCCGCCCGCTGCCTTGTCCGACCAGCGTCCACACAAACGCTACAATGTATTCCAGCAAAGCTCGATCCGCCCCACGTCAACCGTCCAGCGCTCCAGGCGCTCCCGTTCATGCAATTCGCGCATGGCGGCCTTGAACTCGTCAAACCGGTGAAAACCCACCCTCGCAAGCTGCATGCACTCCATGGCAAGCAGCATCCACAGAACCCGCAACTCAAACGAATGGGCGCTTGCAAACAAGCGCAGGTACCGTTCAACGCCGGCGGCATTGGCCACCTGATATCCCCAATCCTCGCGAGTCTCGTCGAACTCGCGGACCACCGTTAAATGACGTGTAACGCCGCGCACATACTCCAAGTCCACGCCACCCCAACCGGCAGGCGTGAAGATCCGAGAGCGATCCCAGTGGAACCCCAACTCTTGCTCGAACACTTCGTCTCGGGCTAGGCCGGTCCGCTCCGGTCCAACAAGCTCGGCCTTCATTTTGGCCTCAGTCTTAACGGCGCTTCCCACACCGTTCGCCTTCCTTTCGTTTCCCCCAACGCCCATAGCGTTGGGATGTCCCCCATCGCCTGCAGATGTTCCAGCCACACCTTCGCTGATCACCTTCCTCGCTGCTTCCACAGCCTCCTTGGCTGCTTCGTCCGCCGCCTTCGTCGCAGCCGCTGCGATCGCTTTGGCCTCTTCGGCGCGCCTTGCCTTTGCATTTACCTCTTCGGCCGCTCTTGCCTTCTTGACGGCCTCCTCCCGTGCCAAGTGCTGCTCCAGCAGCTTTTGCACACCTTCGACGCCCACTGTTTGCATGGCGCTCTTTACCAAGTCGGCAGCCGCTTGCTGCTCCAGCTGTCGAAGCCGTTCGCGCTTCACGGCCGCCTTGGCCTCCCAGTCGGCCTTACGCCGCGCCACTTCAGCCGCATCCTCGCTCGGCGCCACTCCGCCGTCGTCATCCGACTCAGCTGTGAGGTCCACCACCTCCACTTGCTGCGCCGGCGCCTCGGCCTCTTCGACGTCGGCATCCTCGGCGATCTCGTTCACCTTGCGCTTCTTGCCTTCGTCTGCCATCACAACCTCAACTGTCACGCCACAGTTCCCTCTCATTTTGAACATGCGCTGATGGCACGTTCTGTCTTAAGTAGGGGAGGGTGTAACCGTGCCCATCATCCGGTTACTAACCGGATGACTAGTCCAAGGTGTCTCTTCGCACACCAACAAGTCCTCTTGCGCAAGCAAGGTGTTCCTCCGACGATACATCAATGGTTGGTTGCGCGTAGCTTAGTGATAGCGTAGTAGTCTTAACGCTATCAATTCCTTCTCGATTCTACCATCTCCCTCTGCGCACGTTCACACTCTGCATAACTGTATACGATTCTGCACTGCACTACCATGACGTCCATATAATCACAACTCTTTTGTACACAACGCCCCAAATGGACCCCAACGTTGTACTCGACCGCCTTCAACGCGACATCGACGACGAAAACCTCAACATGGAGGAGATGAGTCAAGTCTACCATGACTATTCTCAGCAAGTCGAGGACGCTGATGATTCGCCGACACCCATCATGGATCGTTTCTACTTGCAGGGTGGCAACGCTGCCCTCGCCACCATGATAAATCTGACTCAAGTCAAATTCGAAACGATCTGTGCGATCGTTGAGTCCGTCTTGGTCCCTGCTTGGACACTCGGGTTCATGAAAACATGAGACGTACGTAACGTTAGTACATGTTTGTATGAGAACCCGAGTCTACAGACGAATAGGGAGTGGCAAACTGTGTCGGCGATCAAGCTGTCTTCATCTCTGAAGACTGTGTAACCCAAATCGACACACGCAGCTGGAGGCCCGTTAACGACGCCCATAGCTATCATTTGTAGTGTTAAGGCCTGTTCGGAGCGACTTTTGTGTTGGCGGTTTTTGGCGTCGATGCAAACGTCGATGAAATGTCAGCGGCATTTACAATTCCGTCTTTTGATTTCATTGGATGTAAATAAACCAATCAAATACGCAAATACATACCAGCCTTCACCATCCAAATCAGGTCATTCCATTCGAGAACATGGAGAGCGAGGCGTCGTCAGCTGTGCCACCATGCAGCAAGAAGGGCAAGAAGTCTGGGGTTACGGACAGGGCCCGAAGACTGTCTGGACGACAGAAATGGTGTCTACGTTGCTGGACAAGCACTGCGACGACTTCGCTGCAAGTTTCGAGCTGCACCGGTCGGCAGCCCAGCTGTCCATCATCTGGGGGAAAATCGCTCTTGCGATCAACGTACAACACGGGACGAGCGTGCCAGCACTGGCAGTCAAGAACAAGTTCTCGAACCTCAAGTGCGAGTATTCCAGATACGGCTGGCCGAGCAAGCCACCGGCAATGAAGTGGATGTGCTGTACCCGCCATATTGGGACGATATGGTCACGGCGTTGGGAAACAAGGCCGGACTGGGCCACATCGGCTACGCGTTTGACGGCAGCGGTCCGAATGAACAGTGGCAGAAGCAATGCAGATGGTGACGTCAGCCAAACGTCCAAACGTCCAAGCGTCAGGCCGTGGTGGACGCAGAAGTTGCGCGTCAGCGGTCAAAGCGACCGAAAAATATGGACATTGGTCAGAGTTTAGTTGTATTGGGCGAGAGTCTTGCTCAAGGTATGCAAGGTTTGCAGCCGGTCGTTAGCAACGAAGGGCAGGAACAAGAGAAGAGAAAGCTATTGGTTGCGATAGATAAATTGCAATAAGCAGTAGAACAAAGCACATCGATTCAAACTGAGCTGCTGAACTACCTTCATCGTAATGATTAATGATAAACTTGCAGCTTTCAAATATGACTTCAACAAATTCATTAAGATAGTTTTTTACGTTGTCTCGAATCACCTGTGCTACCACGCTATCGATTGTATATCTTTCGCAGTGTAGCAGAATGTCACCATTGAGGTGCATCCATTCACGTTCATCTGGCTGAGTTGCAGCAGGATCAATAATCCAATTGTGCAGAACTACTGTGGCTTCAATCACGAGGGCCATTTGTTGAGGCGATTGAACTCCAGAGGCTTCTTGAACAGACGAAATTTGTTCTTCCACAACCCAAAGCATTGTTCGACAATGATTCGAGTGCGGGAGTGGATGAGGTTGTAGTGTGATTCGGCCTCCCCCATGTTTGACACAATCGGATATGGTGTCAAGACATGAGGCGTAGTGTGTAGCCCGCATCGACCACAATAACCCCCCCAGTGGAAACACAATGGCTTGCCAAACACAGAGTGGCGGAACAACATGATGTCGTTCTGCCACCCCGGGCGCAAAGAGTACGCCATGAAACCCTTCTTGTCATCGACCAACGCCATTAAGTTAAAAGCCGGAAAGCCCTTACGACAATGCCACCCCTCGTGCTGGCGGAAACGCTTCATCATGACCAGACAGCCATCGATTGCCCCGAACACGTTTGGAAAACCAGCCCAATCATTCATACACGTTCGTCAAACCACCGAAGCCTGTAGGTGTGATTGCTGGAGCAACTGTAGCACCTCGAAAATGTACTCGTAGGCTTTGGTCTTTCCAATCCCAAACACTAGAGCAGCGCAGTCGAGCCCATCACAGTGGGTAACGTAGTACAACGCCAGAGCAGTACGATCCGTAGTGTCAAAGTGGGACGATCGGTGCGGTGGACTGTGCAATGATGTCCACGAGTGCGCCAGACGCTGAGCGATTGATTCAAAGGTCGCGCGCGAGCAACGCAGGTACTGAACAAACCAACCGTTCCTGCCACCACTGGACTTTACGGCGGGTCAGGGTTCACCCCCAACGACGTAGTCATTCACAGGTGCAGCCGGTAAGGTACGACCATCTAGCAACGCAATCGTCACAGCGATGGTGGCCATAGTGCAAACCAACGGAACGAAGTTCATCGAAAGTATGTGAGTCTAATCGCAATATAATTACCCAATCAGTTGCGTAAATCACAAAATTCGATGGAATTGGATTTGATTGGCTGAAGAACAAAAAGCCGCTGAAGTAAAAGTCGCTCCGAACACACCCTTATCCTTCAGAACAACACTTCCACAGTTTGTATCAACGTTACTGTGGTATGGCATGTCATAGGGCGTGTTCGGGACTTTTGTGTCAGCGATTTTTGGCTTTTTCCACAAGCCGCTGAAATAACAGCGACTTTTTGCCTTCACTGACATTGTTTAATAACAGAGAAAAATCAACCAATGATGCGTCCTAAAATTCATTGTCCATTTTAGCTCTATGACAGCGGAGCGCAGAAAATTGTTGTCGCGTGGTGGCTGTGGTGGCCAAATGTTCAGGCGGCGAGTGGCGAAACGACGTAGAGTAGATATAGCGCATGAGAACTATTATATGTATCTACGCAAGTCAGTCGTAAGTCGGCGGCTTGGAAATATAGACTGCCACGCTAATGGCGCACCAGTAAAGGTTAAACCGACCGACAATGCTATGTGTTTCAACCTTGTGCGTCGGTGTGACCTTCTCCTTCCCGAAGGAGTCGTGCAGTCATCACTACTAACTCTAGGCATGCGCAACCCATAAGATCAACGCCTAGCTAACCTGAAATCAGTTTACAATACACAGAGCCTAGGGTTCAGTACAAATAGGAGGTCACGCGGGAGGGGCATGTGTACAGCGTTCGATGCGTTCTGTGTGCAGCTACCCTCGACATTGAAATGACTTACCACAGCCGTGCTTCACATGGGTAAAGTTATCCCGTCGAGGACCTACCAGTACACACCGGAGTGGAGTGACGAACCACCGGCAACCGACAAGGGTGTGCTTTGGGCGTGCTCCTGCGAAATTTTGGTTTGCAACCAACAATTTATTCTGATATTTTTGCCCAATAAATAGCCACAATCCCAAAAGTCGCTGTAAACGACCTCAAGGAGGTCGTCCAGAGCGGTTTTTAAAAACCGCTGACACAAAAGTCGCTCCGAACACGCCCTTAGCCAATTTCCAGTTCCCCATAGCATTCCTCTGTATAGTACTACGTAGTAAGGTAATCCATCAATATCGCGAACGCTTTTTGTGCACTAAAATGTCAAATGTTTGAAGCACTCCACCACAAAAAGTCCCTCGAATAAAAAAAAAACTAAAGGTAGCGTTGGAAAATATAAATCCAGCTGCATTTCTTAGTGCCAAGAAATGCCTGAAATATCCCAATAATCGATTTGTATTTTGAAATTATAACGTAACGTTAAGAATTGGTGAAACTTTTTTGGCTTTGTATTTCGCGAACGGTCGTAATATCTTAGTTTTGGATGTATGGAATATTAATTTACAAAATAATATACCTGGGTGTCGTGACGCGTTTTAATTTATACATGAACTCAATTCTTCATTAAATTTGAACGCATTATAATAAGATACAAGTTGGAATTTGTATTGGACAACATAAAAATGAACATAGTTTTGAACTTCAAGGTGGTGTCCTGATCCTTTGGCTGAATATAATCATATCCAATGAAAACCCCTCATTACAGAATGAAGCCATTGGATTGGATATAATGACAACCGTTCGCGATATTGATGGATTACCTTATTGTGAATTCCGGTGAAATTTGCCGTTTTGGAGTGGTTTGACGTTTTGACGTGGCAATAAATCGACCTCACGATTTGATTCGCCAAAAAAACCTTAATTTAGCAAATTAAACAGTATCGGGGAACATTTTCCAAAATATAATCTGATTGGAGATGGCAAGGTTATCCGGACATAGCTGTCCGGATACGTACAGATATGAGCATACTGCAATCAATATATTGCCACGAACTGATGAGAGGACTCCAGATACTGACAACGGCGACGACGGTGTCCTTTGCAGCTGAAGTGTGGAATGGGAATCCGGAGGGATTCCCCGCTCAAAATCCACCCGCCCATGGCACAAAGGACTTTGACTTTTATGTGTTTGCGCACTCGTGGCAGCCCTCATTTTGCGCTGGCACCGACTTTCCAGGTTGGATACTTTCCATGTCTATATCCAACGAGCAGACCACATGACTAGGCTGCTGGGTTCCTGAGCTATACTGGGAGTCCCATTTTACGATTCACGGCTTGTGGCCCGAGTTAGAAGACGGTCCGCATCCTGGGTTTTGCACGAAGGAACCTCTGGACATCAACATTGTGCGGTCGGCCATCGGCGAAGACACACTCGAGAAATACTGGCCCAACGTCAAAGTGGCTGCCAACACGACGCATTATGACTCGTACATCGCTCCTACAGTGGTGTGGAAGTTACCGTCATGTGTAGGTTTTGGGGCCACGAGTGGTCGCGCCATGGGACGTGCAGCGGGTTGGATCAAGTGGAATTCTTTCAGTCTGCGATCGACAAGATTAAGGTCCAGGGCACGCCCGCCTTCGTCACGCAACATGTTGGCCAATCGGTGTCCACAAAAGACGTCCGCGACGCGTTCGGTGGCGCAGGCCAAGCGGTCCTTAAGTGCGAGCACGGCAACGAACTGTCCCAAGTGTTCACATGTTACGACAAAGACGCTAGCAGCAACGTACCCACGACCCTTCGCGCGTGCTCGGCGCATGTGCTTGCAGAAGACACGTGCAAATCCACGGCCACCGTCGTCATTCGCGGCTTTAAATAGTTTACTCCGCCGTGTAGTATTCCCGTATAATTGCCCTTGGAGGGGAGTGGTGCTATTTGATCTTGAACTTGCTATGAACGCACGTTATGTCTAAACTGGATCGTCCGATCATCCTCAGCCAACCAAAGCCCATGATCCATGGATGGGAGCCTAACATCCTCATCACCAACTGTGAACTGTCTTCAATCCTTACATCCGCCATATTGGCATTTGTTAGGTCACTCGGACGGGTGTACAGTTCCTGCTGCTGTTGCCTCGGTAAATTTGAAGTGTCCGCCGTTGCAGAAGGTACTCGGCCATGGCGCGATTACATTTGGCCATGTGGACTTCCACCAAGGGACACGGCACCCCCTTGACTTCATGGAGATAGCGCACGACGTCCACATGTCCATTTCGCACCGCAGACGCCATCGCATACGGCGTCCATCCTTCACGTCGGTGGTCCCCAAGGAACGTCACAACATTCAAATGTCCCGATTCACACGCGCGATCCATGGCGTGGGTGGTGCAGCCCTCGGCTCTGTTGTTGTGGAGCCACTGTACCATGGCCAAATGGCCGCTTTGCGCAGCTCCGTCCAGCGCAGCACTCGTACAGCCTTCCGTTCGATGCCTTGTTAGCCATTGGACTACATCCACGTGGCCAGCTCGGGCGGCGCCGTCGATGGCGGCGGTAGAACACCCCTCCGTTCGGTTTTCATGGAGCCACTGGACGATGGCAAGCGATCCTTGTTGGGCTGCCCGGTCCATGGCGTGGAATGTGCATCCTTCCGCTCGATGGACGTGAAGCCACTTCAGCACCGTGAAATGGTCGTTGGCCGCCGCGGCGTCCATCGCCGACGTCGTGCATCCGCTTTCATCCGGTCGCTGCTCATGGAGATAGCGGAGGATGTCGAGTTGGCCGTGACCAGCGGCGATATTCATAGCCCCCACGATCTTGAAGACGTCCGGGGTCGACTTAACGACGTGGTCGTGAAAAAAGACTACGACTTTCCGGTCTCCTGATTCAATGGCCAATGCGAGGACTGTTGAATCCACCAAACACGGGCGGCAGCGATAGATCCGGGAAAGAAATGACTGGCCGAAGAGGCCGACAGCTTCGAGGAGGAGGGTGGATTGCCGCAACAACACGTACGTAGCCGCGTGGCGGAGTTCGCTGTGCAGCTGCAGTCGCGCCATATCTGGCACTGCGGGAGTGATCAAAGCCTTGGCATGGTGGGCTAGCGGATGAAGCGTTTCTAGTAGCCGATTGTGAGATTGAATGAATGGCCGCACTTGGTAAAATACCCCCGTCTGAAACTCCAAGATCGACTGCACCAACTCGCGATTTGTCAGCACTTGCATCATCATGCGATCGCAACCTTGGTGATATCAATGGCCCCGTGGTCCAAATGCTACCAGGGCCTTCTCATTCGACTTTTGCCATGCTTGAAAGACATATATTCCTGGACCTAACACCAGTTGTGATCCAACATGTCGCCCCAAACGGTCAACGGGCGTGATTTCCAGTTACTGTACACTGTACAGTACCACATTGAAGATGTGTAACTGCAATGCCATCATAAATATGCGTAACGCTAATGATTACTTCGAGGTTATGTCAAAAGCAAGCACACACACTGTACTACCAGGAAATGTTTACGGCGGTCTGAGTTGCTCCACAAGAACACATCAAGATTGCCTCTAGCACTAATTACGCAGTCGCCATACTTCGTTGCGGGGGCACAGCCAAAGCATGCAGTCGAATGTACTCCTTCATTTCGTAGCTGTTGCAGAGACTTTGACCCCTCAGAGGCTCCCCCTTGACTTCGTGCAAATACTTGACAACTGCCAAATGGCCGTTGCGAATGGCAGCGGCCATGGCATACGGGGACCACTCAGCAAGCCTCACGTCTCCAAGGAATCGCACAACCGCCAAATGTCCTGCTTCACACGCGCGATCCATGGCGTCCGTCGTGGACCCTTCCATTCGATTCGCGTGCAACCATTCGACGATGTGAAGATGACCGCTTTGCGCAGCTCCATTCATAGCGGCAGTGGTGCAGCCTTCTGTACGATTTTCATGTAGCCATTGGACGACCTGCAAATGTCCGGCACGCGCTGCTTCGTCCATGGCAAAGGTCGTACAACCTTCCTTTCGATTCGCATGTAGCCATTGAACGATGGGGAGGAAACCGTGCTGTGCGGCATGATTCATGGCATCAACGGTACATCCTTCGGAGCGATTCGTGTGGAGCCACTTGAGTGTATACAAATGTCGGTGGGCTGCGGCGTAGTCCATGGCCTTGGTCGTGCAGCCTTCTGTGCGATGAAGGTGCAGGTACTTCAGCACGCGCAGGTCTCCGTGCGAAGCTGCAATGTCCATGAGGGACGAGGTGAAACACTGGGGAAGCCGCCGATGGTAATAGTCCACAATGCCAAGGATACCCGTGTCGACTGCAATATACAGGAACGATTGATCAAGCATCTCGGGTCGACAGCGACGCAAACGATCGTAAAACGTGGCGCCGTGCAGATCGAATGCTTGTAGAAGGAGGCGGGATTGGCGGAGTGCTATCACAGCTTTGGCTTGTCGAATTTCGCTGTGGAGGCGAAGCATGGTCACCTGAGGCAGGGCAATGTTGTGGGCAAAGAGCAGCTCCGCATGTCGTGTGGAACTCAAGAGGGAGATGGCGACTTGGTTGTACTCGTCAAGGAACGGTTTGAGTTGATGGCATACTCCTGGCTGGAACTCCAGTATCGTGAGCAGCAGCTCGCGGCTTGTCAAGACATCGGTCATGGTACAAAGGTGAGAATCGACCACTGTGGCGCCCGTGGAAGTAAAGAAATGGAGTTTCGGAAATATCGATATCCCAGTAACGGTCGGTTCTGACATTTGCAGAATTCTCCGCTGGATCAACTTCAAGATACATTTTTTCGCTGGTTTAATGGCTGACAATAAAATAATCAATCCCCAATTGTCCCTATATTGTGCAAGTCAAACCACTCAAATAATATAATTTTAATATGGATACTTCGGTCTGGACCCATATTATTTCTGTAGTATCAATAGAAAAGTCAAGTCAGACGTATGGCGTTCTTAACAAATTCTCAAACGGTATCCACCAATCAAGTTGCGAGATCGCGTGTCCAGCCAGATGACCAAGAGTGACGTTGCTGATCCCGCGCCCAAGTTGGACCTTTGGCGGGACAGTCCTGTGCGCTACCTTGGGTATGCCAATGAACTTGGAGAATCCTTCCGTCCCTTGTTTCCGGGATGTGTTGGTCCTTCGTATGCGGTGGCAATTGCATACGTCCTGGGGGATACATTCGACAAGGGGATGATTGCCCTCAACGATACCCCGACCACACAGTCTGCAGCGGGAAATGTCGAAACAAACAAGAAAACTCGGGCCGTCAAGGCTGCAGCGGATACCTTGATTTGGCAAGGATTCGTACGAACAAATGTCCGACGTTGAGGTTGATTTTTGATGCATTTTCGCCCTAGGCCAGCGTGGCCATTCCAGGGTTTGTGATCAATCGTGTGGTACATACAGTACATGTATCCCTCCTTGAGCTCGTTCGTTATAAGTGATGTGTTATGTACTTCGTAGGTTGCGGCCTCGTCAGCCGTTGCCAAACACGTGAAGGCGAACCCAGCGGTGCTCAAATGGGGACCGACCTGCGTTGGCATTGGTGTGATTCCGTTCATTATCCACCCCATTGACGAATTTGTCGACTACGCCATGGACCGCACCACGCGAGTGTGGGCTTAGGACATTTGAGACATGCGATCGATCGAAGCACATAGAACTATAATATCACACGAATGAAAAGTCCAAGATGTCGAATCTCCGAATAAGTTTGGATTATCCGGTGGACATTGGATTTTGACAACCGTCGCGGAGCCGCCGATGCAATTAGACTTGTCGCGCAAAGGATATGCATACATTCCCGAGGACTTGGATGAACATGTGACATCGCTGTCACTCTCAGCTAATCGAATATGCAGCCTCAGTGATGTAGGCCGACTAGTGCACTTGCGGCGGGTACTTACACTTTCATCAACGGCAACGACTGAACGGTCTGGTAGGTGGACTTGTCATGTAACAAGATCGTGGCGTTGGCTGGCATCGAAGTACTGGGAGCATTGGTGTGGCTGAACTTGTCGCGCAATAGCATCACGTCCTTGGACGGCGTACAACACCTGGCTCACCTCCAGACGCTCGATGTAGCCGACAACAACCTGACCGACATCGACGTGCTCGAACACAACATGTCGCTCACGCATGTCAATGCATCGACCAACTGCATCAATGTGTGGCCTCGCTTGACTTTATTGGTGCATTTGGAGGTTTGTACGATGTTGCACGTGTGGTTCTCTTACTCCGTGACCAGGTGCTGAATCTGAATGAAAACGAACTGCCCGCCCTTCGACTGCTTCACACGATGTTGCCTCCACACGTTCAACAGCTCCACTTGGCTCACAACCATATCGATCATGTACGTAGTACACCACAACTCTCGATCTTTTTTGTGGTCGTGTTTTTTCGAGGCGGAGACTGTAGTTGCATTGCTTTGATTCGTGCCGACCAATGCTGTCGCTGCACACTCTGGACTTAGCTGGCAACGGCTGCGCTGCAAACCACGCACTCGCCATGGCCACCTTGAGCTCCATCTTCCCATCTCTCACCACATTCAACGGTCAGCCCGTCATGCGAACCACACCATCCCAGCAGTCCCCCCCCACCCCACCCCAACACACACCCGATTTGGACGTTTCGAACCGCGACGTGAAGATCCAAATGTGGAAGCACATGCTCCAGCAACGTTCCCAGCAGGAAACGGTCGACCGACTTCGCCTCCAGCAAGAGAGGCAACAAGTCGGTCCAGCTACTCCCCGGGACGAAGAAACTCGGCCAACCCTACGCCCTCCTTCGATGGCAACGCCGCGTCCACAGTACTTTGTCCATCACAACCACGCAGCTGCACCCCCCACGACGTCCAAACAAATCACTCCTCGGTAACATCCCTCCTTCCATGATATCCTAAGCAAGGCATGGACAGATCGCAGGCGGTAGCCGAGCCCCCCCTGGCGCACTCGAGCACGTTTTTGCCACATCACGACGACACCCCTGGTACGCATGCATCGTCGGCGAAAACGGCATCTGCCACGTCGCGCCAAGACTTGCACAAAGCTCTGGCTGCAGTGCAAGACCACGTCCAGCACATGCGAAAGTACATGAAGGTACCAAATATAATGCCATCGACTGCAATCGATCGATATATATAAATATATCATTGAACTTATACTTCGAAGTATATATTTATTACATATATATAGATCATTCAAGTACTCATCATGGCCATGGTAGGTGTGGGTGAAACGCGAGCAGTGGCTTCGGATGAAGAGTGCCACGTGTATACAGGTATATATATATATATATATATACCTACATACAAGTACAGTTGTGTCGACCTCTTCCTATCGTTACGACTAACGTTATGGTAGAAATTCTATCGAGGACATCTCGCACGTGTGAAATTTCCACGACCCGCCGTGCCAACCAAGTCGGCACCGGCGATGGCGACCTGGCCTATGCATATGTCGTCATATCAAATTATGTGGGAGAGCCTTCCCCAAAACACTCAAATTTTCCACATCTACGCCCAGATCATTCAGGTAGTCGCCAATTAGGCTCAACAGCACAAGATAGGGCGTCGCTCCTCAGGTGTAGTCTCTAGAAAATCGTCCGGGGGTCGTATACGCGACGGCGGTTGGTCGAGTGGAAGCGAGCCAACTACAGCGCGAGGCAAATTCAGCGGGTGTGGCGGGGTTATGTCGTTCGCGGCAACCTCGTTGGGTATGCCCTTGGCATTCATGACACTGTGGTGAATATGGAGATCTGTAGGAAAGGGGGGGCGACGCTGCTGCACCAAGTGCGATGTGTGCTGATTCGCGTGGGCAAGCTGGAGCGGCAAGCAGGGATTCAAGACGAAGCTACGATGGCGTTGTGGTCGCAGCTGAAGCAAGTGACGACGGACAGCCATAATCACCACAGATTGACGCGAGCTGTGAGTCGACTGCAGGTAAATGAGTACATACATATGTAGTGTGCACGATACGAGCAGCTAAGAGGGAGTATGTACATACACAGGCGGCGTGGAAGGGCAAACTGGCGCGACGGCAGCATGGGCAGTCGTCCAGAAAATCGACCGAGTGGTGTGAGGCTCCGTGCAAGCAATGCCAAGCGAATGCTTTGGAAATCGCCACCTTGCGTCAAGAACTGCACGATCTGGCCGCACTAGTCCGACAACTGACTGTACCACCCGAAACATCTGGGCCACATCCCAACGTTGATCCATCTCCACGGATGGTTCCGTCTGCATGTGCTGCGCTCCCTTCATTGCCCACGTCGCACGCTGACATGACGCAGCCACTGACCCTTGCCGATTTCTTTGTTCGTCCAAACTATGCACCGATGCGAGATATGGAAGTCCAGTACCATAGCTTAGACGACTTTCAAGCACACGTTGCCACGTCTAGCTCGTATTTGGACGTAGACCTCTTGGCCGTGGATTAGTTCTGTGGCTACTGTTTCTTGCCATTGTCTAACATACTGTTTTGTCTGTGCTTTTGTCTGTGCATACTCGTGGCTCCCACCACCTACTTTGTGGCAGTACATGGATATGAATGCCCGATCAGGTTTGAACCTGATCAGGTTGTTGTTTTCTCGGCAGTTCTGTCGATCGTCATGTGCAATGCGGCCCACGTGGTACTACCGTACACAGCATCCTGATAGACGTAACACGATGAGAATCGTACATGCAAGGGCATACCAGGACATCGTGTCCAAAGGACTTCTACGCAGCAGATGCAGGGTGTGTATGTAGTAGGATTTCACCCTCCATGCCAACTCGTTCAAGCATTTCCATGGGCGAACATGCTGCCTGGCCGCTTGCTTGGCCATATGGGCGTTATGAATGTAACTGCCGAGGAATGAGAGTGAGAGCGAAACGATAGCCCCTAATTTACGTAAATACTGCTGTAAATACCCAAAATAATGTGTTAATTTTGCAAATTTTAGCGCGATTCTGGTGAGAGTGCATGTCGCACAGGTTCGTGACGGTGATGCCGCCCGTAGAGATCAGATGCTGCTTGCTCCCTACAACACTAACGCGAATCCTGCGGAGAAGATCAGGTAATTGCGTACCACATGAGTAGTCGGCGCCGACAAAGCGCTGCGGTCTCGCTAACCGCCTCGCAATCACGGACGCGGCAACGCCAGTCGTCCATTCCCAACCCGTTCACTCCATCCACATGCACATCTCCCCTTCGCATCCACGAGCCATCTTCGTCGCTCAGCCTCACAGGTCTCGAGAAAGCACAGCTACTTGAGTTGGCACACGCCGCAGCTTCCGAACTTCTATCCTATGTGCAGCTTCTGCAGTCACAGCCCGCACCCGCCACCTCCAAGCAAATTGAATCCACCGACGAGAGGTACATTTGCCAATCCAAGACCGCGATCCTCACGGGGTACTCGTCCATCCATGACTACAAACGACACATGCACCCGTACGCCTTTAACGCGTTCCACACGACGTCCACGCTGTGCGCCATCCACTCTGGCCAGGACGACAAGTCCGTCGTGACCGTGAAATGGAGTGCGGCATCGAGTGGCCCTTTGGCCCACGACCGTGACTTTTGCTATGTGGAGGTACATACTCCTCCTTCCCTGCGCCCACACCATGTAACGTTATGCTACGGATTAGATCCAACAGCCTTTTGTGGCGCGAAACGGCCGGCGAGGGTACGTGCGATGCGTGCATTCGATTCCGTTGTTTGTAGCGTCGTCGAAACACCAGCATGTTCGGGCGATATTGCGGCATTCCGGCACTGTCGTAATGGAGGGATCGAAAGAGAACAGACGGCTCCTGCAGAGAACAATAGTCTTGAATGTCGACCACCGAGGAAAAATGCCCAAATGGGTAGCAGCGATCATGGTGCGACGTCTCCTGGCGAGAGCCGAGTCCCGCCCCCATGATGTGGCCAACGACTTGCAACACCACCACACGATGGACACCCCATGGCAAGAAGACGACGACACAATGCGATTGCAGTCGATGCGGCGGCGAAAGTCGTCGTCGATCAATGCATGGACGTCTTTGAAGGACATGGTCAAGCTATGCAAAGTATGCACGACCAAGTTGAGGTGGTACCATCCCACCGTGAAGTGCAAGGTCTGCCGCATGGTACGGATGGCGCGACTCTTCTGCCGTTGTGGACGCTCGTTTATGACGTTCATGCATCGTAGGCGGTGTGCAAACCATGCACAACGCACTGCGAGGTCCTGCTCAAGGCGTCGCACCGAGTGTGTTTACGCTGCAACGCCCACCTTGCGTCCCTGCTAGCGAAGTCCGAGGAGGAGCTCCTACCTGTGGAAGTGTACCCTGAGGACACTTGCACCTTTCTGGACGAATGGGATGAGTCCATGTCGTGATGTCGTCCATGTCCAACGTTTGCCCGCGATGCAAATTGACCAACGCGTTCCCTCCATTTTCGGATCTTATTGGAGTACTGTGAACAAATAAAATATTTTCGTTTCATTTGATATTTGTATGGTCATTGCGAAAACGCAAATAAGTTTGTTTGTCCGGATAATCGAAACATGAACGTTGACGAACTTCAATTCGATTTGAGGCATGGTCCCTGCACCCCAACGCCGCTCGTCCCGGCTGGCCCCTCCTCCTGATCAAGGGGCCTCCAGCGAGCCACCACCATCGCGGAAGCGCAAGCCTACAACCGCGGACACTTCAACCTTGGCCACTACAACAGCGCCGAAGAAACAGCGAGCAAATGAACCTGTCTCCGTGTTGGAAACCCACACGACAGCTTCAATTGTCAAGTCCACTCGTAAAGGCATGCCAGCACCTACACGACGTAGCGCCAGAACGGCCATTCATGACGACGAGGATTGTATCGTTCGTGAGACCGACGACGACGATGGAGACATCAAGTCGGACACGGACATTGTGTCAGCAAGCGGCGACGACAACGATGCTCCATCCTCCTCCACAGCGCCCGCCGTACGACGCAGAGCCTCTCGTGTAAAGAAAGAAGCGGAGGAACAAGTGGCACCAGTACCGCTCACCCGCCGCAATCAGCCCAAACGCGGGGTCGGCGGCGGCGCGTTGCCAGTCGAACCCAAGGTGGAGCACACGTTTGAAAAAACAAAGCAGCCGCGGCCTCGCCCGTCAAAACACCAAGTAATCGACGACAACGACAGCAGTGACTTTGTCAAAGACGATGTGAAGACGCTCAGACCGCCTCCTTTCCAGGCATCCACCTCTTCGTCCATCCCCCGACTCACAGCGGACGGCGGCGACATCATGTCCGACGACAACCGCCCTGAAGCAGCTAAGCTAGGGAAACAAGGCCGTGCGAAACGTGTGGTCCGGGCGATCCCCGTGCGCCAAGCCCCAACGACCTTGAAGCCGCTATCGAAGAATGCCCAGGGCAAGCGCAAGGCGGCGGCGGTTGGCGCACGTCGGCCGTCAAAGCAGCTACAGGACAGTTCCGACGGTGGAGACAGCAGCGAGTTTGTCGCGAGTAGTAGCAGCGACGAAGGCAGTGGCGATGACGACGATGTGGCAGACTGGGCATCGACGTTAAAGTCGAAAGCGGCGCGGGGGAAGGACCTCGTCGACGGCAGCAGCAGCAGCTCGTACGATGACAACGCCCCGATAAAGTCCATCAAACGACCCAAGACAGGAAGATCTCCAAAGAAGCCGGCGGCGGCGGCGGCTTTGACGGAGCATGCACAGGGGAACGATGGCGGCGATGGACGGGATGGCGGAGTTGTGAGAAGAGCAGAACCGATCGAGTATCCATACTATGAAGTCGCGTACGCCCCGACTGGTCGAGCTCGGGTAGGGTATTGTGTTACTATTGTTATAATTATTATAACAATGATGATGCTTGTTATAATTATTTATAACAATTGAAATGCTCTAGTGCAAAACGTGTGAGAAGACGCTCGTGCGTGGCGAATTGGTCGTGTCTATCCGGTTGCGGCACTCACGATTTGGCATCATGGCGTACCACAAGGTCCTTAAAAGTACACTCACTATATGGAGTTTCTGATTGAGTTGTAGCATATTGAATGCACGTTGCTCAACAATGACGTGGCAAAGCCTTTGCATGGCTTTGACGCGTTGGACCGGGACGACGTCGACAGAGTGCAAGCGTACATGGTGACCAATTCCAAGCTCGGTACACCCACACATATAATAATACTATTTTCGATTGTATCCATTCTGTGTTTATATATCTATTTATATATAAATTGGCGCAGGCGTCGAAGACGAGCGCGTGGCGTTGGGCGACGAAGCATTTATCAAGCGAGATATCCTACCGGCGGGGACTCCGTCGCCACACTTAACCGCGTCGTTGCTGCCATACCAACAAGAAGGGCTCGCGTGGTAAAGATGATATTTCTTGATCTATATGATATATAGGAACAAACATCATATATTATTCTAGGATGAAAGCACAAGAAGCAAGCAAGTACCGCGGCGGCATCTTGGCCGACGAGATGGGCATGGGCAAGACGATTCAAGCGATCGCAACCATGCTGGAGAACGTCAAAATCAAACAATTTGAAGGGATGGTCATGGGCGGTGGCACGCTCATCATCTGTCCTGTGATTGCTTGCATGCAGGTACAGATATATATCATGTAAACTTAAAATATTAACAATATATATATATATTATCAGTGGAAAAGCGAGATTGAGCGGTTTGTCGAGGCAAATCACTTGAGCATTTTGCTGTATCATGGCCCCAAGCGTACCAATTTGACTGCTGAATTGGCGTCGTACGATGTCGTATTGACGACCTATTCGATTCTCGAAAACGAAGGTACCGAAATCAGAGGTTTCTACATGCAATATATATATATATATTAAACGGGACAAGTGTATATATATTTCTAAATGGGGACAGTGTGTATATATATATTTCTAAATGGGACAGTGTATATATATATATATTTCTAAATGGGACAGTGTGTATATATATATTTCTAAATGGGACAGTGTATATATATATCATGATTTATATATATATATATATAAGTCATGGGGTGGATTGCGATATATATATATATACATATATATATATACATTTATGTATTTCCAGGACGCAAGCTGATGGAAGCCGAGAAAGTGGCGTGTGCGTACTGCCACAAACTATTTGTTCCGGAAAAGCTCGTGCCACACAACAAATACTTTTGTGGTCCGGACTCTCGGAAAACGTCCAAGCAGATGAAGCAGCAAAAGGTACAAACGTCGTCTAGTTGGATTCATTGGACCTGATATATATATAAATATCGAAGTATATATATATAAATATATATATATATATATGGACGGCAGGGCAAACCCACCAAGGCGGCGGTGGCAGCACGAGCCAAGGCCAAGACGTTGAGTGACCAAGATAGCAGCAGCAAAGAAGAAGAAGAAGAACACGATGCTCCTATAAAGCCCCCGCCTCGTAAATCCAACCGACGTGCAAAGAAAGGGCGGTCGCCGCTCCACGAGGTCCGTTGAACGTTGTGGATGCAATGGCTGATGATATTGTGTGCATTTCACACCCAAATGTTTACTTTCGCCAAATACTGCAGCATTCGAATCCATTGAATCTGATTTAAGCTTGTACACACTATAGCATACAAAGATTAGTATATATATATGGGTTTGCCCAATATTTAGAGGGACTGTGAGGGGATTGGCAGAAATTATTCACCAGAACGTGATTTGATTGGCTTGGGCAGTTCTTAAGTCATTTCTGTGTTGACGGGTCCAGTTTCCAACCAATTTGGCAATGTAATAATGTAGATGATATAATGGATGATGATATAATGGATATAATGGATAATGATATAATGATATAATGGATAATGATATAATGATATAATGGATAATGATATAATGATATAATGGATAATGATATAATGGAGATGATATAATCGATGGGGTAGGTCGAGTGGACGCGCATCATTTTGGACGAAGCCCATTACATCAAGGTACGTACATATCAAAACTAACCAATGTACACTGAGTATGCTTATTGTCCTTATCATTTACTCCTCGATTTCCAAATAAACAAGAGATGGACAGATCCAACACCGATCATATAGGACAAAAAGTGTAGCACAGCGCGGTCCGTGTTTCGCTTGAAATCTCAGTACAAGTGGTGCCTCTCTGGTATAAAGTCCCTAGCTAACAAGGCTCACACTGAACTGGCTAATCGATAGGCACGCCGCTGCAGAACCGCATTGGGGAGCTGTTTTCGCTGGTCCGGTTCTTACAAGTGGACCCACAGGCGTACTACGAGTGCGCCGAGTGCGACTGCAAGCAGCTCGACTTTAGCATCTTTCACGGCCACTGCAAGCACTGCGACCACACGGCCATGCAGCATTACTCGTTCTTTAACAAGAAGATCGTGACTCCCATCCAGGGCTTTGGCTACGTGGCCGAGGGCAAGCTGGCCATGCTTCGTCTGCAGAACGACCTCCTTCGCCACGTCCGCCCATCCATCTCTTGTTTCGACGTTATTGATTTTACATGTATTTACATTAGGTGCTGCTGCGACGGACCAAAGAAAGCCGGGCAGACGACATTAGCTTGCCGCCCAAGTTGGTTCGCGTGCGGCGGGATGCCCTGGACGAGCGCGAAAAGGACTTTTACGAGGTATATATCTATATATATATATATATATTGAAAACGAGGAATATTATTATATTTGGACTTGTATAGAGCATTTACACGCAAAGCAAGGCCCAGTTCAACACGTACGTGTCGGCAGGCACTCTCCTCAACAATTATGCGCACATTTTCGACCTGCTCATCCGACTTCGCCAAGCTGTGGACCATCCGTACTTGGTATAAATATATATATATTATATACATATACTATATATATATATTATATATATACTATATATATTATATATACTATATATATACATATACATATACATATACTATATATCTTGTTGTACGAGTCTCGAGAGTAGTAAGGTGGGTTTGACTTAGGTGATTTACTCGAAATCGAATCCCGCGCTTCAAGTGCCGACGCCCGACGTCCCTGCCCGCGACGACTTGGCCCTCATCGGTCCTCCCCCGTCTTCGAGTGCCGACGATCCGGACGACGGGAGAACATGTGGCTTCTGCCACGAACCCCCCGAGCAAGCCGTCAAGTCGGCCTGCCATCATTTGTTTTGCCACAGTTGCGTCGAAGAATACGTCGAGTCTTTGCTCATGGGTAGATATATATATATAATATATATATATAATATTTAACACCATTGAAATGGCAGGAGCTCAAGCTACGTGCCCGACGTGCAACGAGCCGCTGACGGTGGACATGGCAGCCACTGGGACAGCAGCCGACTCCGACGACGACGAAACACATCACGTGGACCAGTTCAAGGCGCGCCAGATTGGAAAAGGCAGTTTGCTGCGTCGGCTGCCCCACCTTGGAGACTTTCAGAGCAGGTTGCGATTGTTTGTTATAATGTTTATTCGTGGGATTAACCTTTTTAGTGCGGACAGTGTACTCACACTAATTCTAGTCGCACTAATCTGATTGGCTCAATACGTCTGCCGATGTTTACCTCGAGTACATTTGGTTGTGTCTCGTCGAAGTATTTGCAATGTCGCTTCTGTTTCGAATATTCACAACAATATATATATATATTTGTATAGATTGTATTAATCGGGTCTTTGATGATATATATATATTTGTAAAGATTGTACTAATCGGGGGTGGTTGGATGTGTGTGTACTACGTAGCACCAAGATTGAGGCACTGATGGAGGAGCTCCACTTGATGCAACACCACGACCCGTCGGCCAAGGCTATAGTATTCTCGCAGTTTGTCAACATGCTCGACCTGATTGAGCATCGGCTGCGGCTCGCGGGCCTCAAGTGCGTCAAACTGTCGGGTGGCATCCCCATGGCCCAGCGCGACCGCCTCCTCACCGAATTCCGCGACGATCCGACGCTCACGGTGTTTCTCATCTCGCTTAAAGCTGGCGGAGTTGCCCTCAATCTGACGGTGGCGTCCCAGTACGTTCATATAAGACTTGGTTCTTGTATATTAGAGTTGGCGACTGGTCCTTTTCGCTGGGATTTTGGGTCTGGCAGACAGATTATTCGAGAATCGATTGGAGTGTGATTTTTGAAGCGTATATATATATATATATATATATTCAATATATGGTATACACATTTGTGATAATGAACATTTGTTGGAGTTGGCCAAACTACACGAATCGATGATTGGTTGACATGTCGTGTTGGTGAATTTTGATTATTGGCTAGGACTATCGCAAATACCCTTTGTCGAATTTCAGTCGAAAGTGTTTCCAAATTGGAGTTGACAATGTGCGTATATATATATATATATACTGTATGTGCAAACACGGGGTTTCAAGTTGGTAGCGAGTAATTTTTTTGCTTTGATTTAGGGTTAGTTGTATAGGATGATTTATTTTTATTTATTTGGTTAGCATTTTCCTGATGGACCCGTGGTGGAATCCGGCGGCGGAGCACCAAGCAATCGATCGGACGCATCGCCTTGGCCAGTTCAAACCTATCCGCGCCACGCGGTTTGTGATTGCCAACACGATCGAAGAACGGATTCTCAAGCTACAGGTATATATATATATAATTGGATGATTACTATATATATATAGAATATATAGCTGCTCTTCCTGCTGCTGTGATATCTCATGTCTTGTTAGGAAAAGAAGCAGCTCGTATTTGAAGGCACGGTGGGCTCGAGCACGGCGGCGTTGGCGCGGCTGACGATTGAGGACCTGCGCTTCTTGTTCAGTGGATAGTGCTTAGGCTTGCTTGAAGGATCAACTGTACACATGTTACTACCATTCACTGTACACGACTAAAGCTGTAGGATTTGGGCCTAGTTTTGTAATATGTAGAGTACATATCCCTGTTTCGCACGCTATTTCAATTCCAAAACCCGCCTACTTGATGGATTAGGTGAAGGCGCGTCCATTTGGTGAGATGTGGTGACCAAGTGTTAGCACCACACCTTGTTAGCTATAGTTCACCACGGAGGGTACTACTGTACTATAGTAGTATTGGGGTTTCGGGGTTAAAGTACCCCGGAGAATATACTAATTGGGATTAAAATATTGAAATAAGTGCTGACAAATTGCAATTTTCATTGATTGTGCAAAGTACGTCAAGTAGTAATTATTTAATCGATGTGCCACATATATATCTTATGTTTTGTATGCAGGTACAACTAATATGCCGCTCCGAATGGTAATCGTCTCTCGACAAGGCTGCAAATATTATATGAGTACGTAGTATTAATCCTACTAAATAGAAGTAAATTGGTTCGACTACTGGTCAACAACATATCTTTTCCCGTACTACATACCCTGATGAAGACCCATGATGGTACGTACACTTGACGTGGCGGCAGGCTGTGCGACCTCAGTACAAGGTAACGCAGGATCCACAACGTGGCTGTTCTATCGATCGCAGCAGTCAGTCCACCATCGTTCACGGACCAGATTATGGTCCAAGTGTGTGTCTGAGCTAGTTAGTGTTGGGATGGTTTGAGGATGATTTTGCTGTTGGTCATGTGGTTGGCATAGTGTTGAATGGCGACGACGGCATCGTCGAGTGCGTGGGACGCGCTAACGTCCGTGTGAAACGTCGTCGAGAGTTTTCGAGCAACTTGGCGGCGCATGCGCCATGTGCGAAGCCAGCCTTGCTCCTCAAGGTACCGAAAGAGGAAGAACCCCGAGATGCGCTTGTTGTTGTAGCGCAGGTCCCCGGGGGACATGGCGGCCCACCGGTCGCCAGTGAGGTTACCGTACACAAACAGCTCCGAGTTGGGTGGCATGCACGCTTGCACTTGGCCTGGCAGGTCGCCCCCGACACATTCAAACCCGACGGTCGCGTTGAGTTTCGAGCAGAATTGCGTGAGTTGGTCGGTCCAGTGGGGCTCGGACGTGTTGACGATGTGCTTTACGCCCCACGCGGCCAAAGCGTCTACTTGAGCTTGGTTGCGGACAACACCGATGATTTGGATGTCGTGCTCGGCGGCATGTCGAGCCAGCATTTTGCCTGCATCCAACGACAGGTAAGAACATTTCAAAGCACACGACGGAAGAGGCGTACCCAGTGCCGAGGCCGCGGCGGTGTTGACGATGGCCTTGACGTGGCGGGATTGAGCGATGCGGACAAACGACGAGCACGTGAGGGGGTTCACGAAACAACTCGTGCCGACTTCGAACGAAATCGTTTCTGGGAGTTGAATGCAGAGCGAGGCGTCGGCCACGACGTACTCGGCCCACATGCCCCCCGACGGGACGAGGGCTCCCACGCGCTTGCCTTGAAGCCACCACGGCAAGAGTCCGCCACCCGAGGCGACCACCGTGCCGCTTCCCTCCGTGCCCGTGAACACTGGCAACGGCGTCGACCCAGAGTCGGCATACAACCCTTGCAACATTGCCAAGTTGGACGGGTTCACAGCAGCACATTCGACTTTCAACAGTACTTGCCCATGCCTTGGCACAGGCACGTCGACCACATGAAGCTCGAGGCAAGATGCCAAGTCCGACTCGGGTTTGAAGTTGGCTACACGGCGGACTTGCCGCAACGCGCGCATTGTCAACGGAAGCAGCGCCATCGGAGCGAAAGACAAAAATGCCAGTTGAAGGTAGCCAATCAGACCTCTTTCGTCGGAATGATTGCGTTCGATTTTTGGACGATGCCATTGGGTACGGATGAGCAGACGGTTCTACTGCAGCAATGGAGAGATGGAGGCCCAGCAGCACCAACTTCCAAGCAATAACCCACACTAATGGACAAGCAATGGCTTTATATTGATGTCCCAAGCCCACACAATACCACACTAGTCCTAGCTATGGCCCGTCCATAGGCTGGGTGCCCTCCAGTCCGTTCGCGGCCCGGTGTTTTGTCTGGGTTTCGGCTTCCTTGATCAGCTCTACGCACCAAACCAATGACAGGCTAGGTGGTACATCATCATCACGTTGGTTCGTACGCACCCAGCATGTCTGCCTCGGAGATGCTCTGGAGCATGAGAAATTGCGACTTTTCAAAGCGCAAGTTGTCCAGCGCCAAGACAGTTCGCGCGTCCATGCCCACGCCTAGCCGTCGTCGCAGTTCCAGTTGGTTTTCGCACAGTTCCCTTTTGAAATCACATGTCAGTCGCAAGGGGGGGGTATTGCATGCAATGTACTTTTGTTCCTGGCGCAGGGCAAGGAATTCTTGGCGCTTCTTCCGCAGCAAGTCCTTAACCAGACTGGTCTTCAAGCTAATCGTTAACGTTAGCAGTTCAATCCAACCGTGAGCATTTTCATAGCCCAACAAAAACTCTTGTAGGTACCTCGTGGAGACTCTTGATCCGCCAGTGCCCCGGCTACGACCGCGGGAGATTTCACCGGTGTGCGACCGAAGCTTTAACGAGTTCAAGTGCTCGAGCAGCTTGACTGTATCCCCCATGCCAATCAGCGACGCCGACGGTGTGGCTATAAGGGAATTATGAGCAGGCACATGATTTTAGAGTACCCCGCAGTGGCGACAGTGTTGGTGTTGATCGTAAGCCACAGCGTCGCTTTGTCAGGGGCCGAGACGGCGCGTTGCCCTCCTGGCATGTCGTGATAGAATGCATGATCATCGATATAGTCGATCTTGTCATTAGATGTGGCTACACATACAGTATGTACCAGCGACAGTTTGGACACATCGTCCGACGTTGCCCCTGCCCAAGTGCAATGTCAATAACACCCTAGTAAAAATCAACACAATCCGACAACGAATTACCTTTATCAAGTGCCTTTCTTTCGAGTTTGGCCCAAAACAACAAGAGCAACTTGACTCGCGCGTCCGTGATGCTCATCCACCCGCGCCACATGCTTTGAAACACTTGAATACAGTGCCGATACTTGAGAATGCACTACTCAATACAAAAAGTCGGGTGTACAACCATATCGCACAAACGACAACATTCTTCATACCCGACGAAACTTGGCTTCCTGCAGCTCTTCGATGGACGTGATAATCACGTGCACCGCCAGCTGTCGACGGCGCAACCGATTTTTGCGCACCCATTTCATCAAGTACTTTTGAATCACCAACATAGCGTGCGTGACGTGGCTTAAGCAGATGGCTTGCGACTTGCGTCTCCAAAAGTGCTGGATTCGCTTTGTAGCCCGGTGTTGCTGGTTGGACAAAATACGCCCCTCAGATGCCTGACATAAGCACATACTTCTTGCTTAGCAATCGCCCAGACGAGGCTACAAATTGCTCTGCAACGTACACGGTACAGGGCGTGGAGTTTGTGCGTGATCTTCCCCAGCGCCACCAACAACAAAGTCTTGCGAGCCCAGTGCTGGCGTGCCCGAAGTAGCGCCGCTTGCTGCTTTCGCGCCCCCCATCGATTCACCCCCGCTGCCAACACGTCTGCCATGACGCGATGGTGTGCTTGCATCCGCGCTTTGGCCTCTTCTTGGCGTCGCCGCTCGACTTCAAATCGTTCCTGTCCACCCATTTTGTTACTTATTATTGAATACTTTCGAGAAATTGAACGTACGACTTGATTCGAGGGTGGTTTGACGAGCTGCTTGTTGCGAGCCACGAGGTTGGTGCCGTGATCTGTAATGTGTCGCAGTTTGCGAGCGTCTTCTCGCTTCAGCACGGCTTGCAACTCGTGGGGGGCGATCTTAAAGTGCAAAATGCGAGCCCCCAACGACATGGAGCGGGGGTCTGCCACCGGTACGATGGTTCGCTTTCGAATCATGCTGATTTGAGTGTCGTACCGAGTTCGTCGAGAGCTATAGCACGGCCCCCCACTACAACCAACATAAGTAAGCTGTCGTCCGAAGTTTACGTGCCTTGGACGGGGACTTGGGACGGGTAAATGCGGTAAGAGGGATGTCTTGGACGCAGGCTTGATGCTGCGGTGGCGAATGTTCCGATGGGGCTGCGCATACCCCAGGCCAGGGGGATCGGATGTCAAAGGGGGGCTTGTGGGAGTTCTCGACAGGAACGGAAGTACTTTGGATGTGGACGTAGCCTACCTCATCGTCCGAATATCACAAAAGAGAAGGTACATAGATCAGGTCATCGAATCCACCTCCGAGTCCTGTCGAAAGATGAGCCACGAAGCTATGGGGGAAGACTGTTTCAACGACTCGCGGCGGTGCTTTGGTGTGTTTGGCGTTAACGTTTGAGGGCAGTCCAACACAGACGAGCGTCGACGCGAGGGGGTCGATGGTAGGTCTAGTGATGGCACTGGTGGACGTGAGGGTGTGTCCTTGACGGGGGTCGCTGCGGGAGGGGCAAGTTCAGGATAGTTTCGCCACTCGACGTCGCTGCAACTTTTGTGGTTCAGTTGCTCAAGATGGTACCCATCTCGCACGGTGAAGGTCGGCTTTCGAAGACCCCCGTCGATGTCCTAGTTGACACCCCTGCGTCATAGTACGTACATGCGTGTGTGTGCGAAATTGCGATGTTGCCGCCATTACCTTGGTCATATTTCGCGTGAAAAACGTGGTGTGAGCATGCAGATACTGCACTTTGTAACTGACACGTGAAACGTCAAGTGTTTTATAACGAATTTCACGTTTACAACGTTACGCCTGCCTTTTTCAACGTGGTAGAATTGAGCTTCATCTCAATGTGGCTCATGCTCCATTTGTCCATCGTGGCTTTGCGCTGGTATTCTGCCGTCATTTGCTGCGCCAGTTTCTATCATCCCATGTTGACATCGACTTGCAAATAAATGAACATTGCATACCGTCCGGTACTCGCGATCGATAGCGTCCTTCTTGGCTTGCTTCACTCGGGCGGCCATCTCGGCGGCCAGAGCGTCCTGCGCTCCCATCGCATCAATGTGCGCGGCTGCTTGGCGCTCGGCCTCGAGTCGATTCCGCTTCTCCTCTTGTTGCTTGCGCAGTTCTTGGCCCTGCTCCGCATCCAGCTGCCGCTGCTTTCGCCGCTTCTCCTCGAGCCTCGCCTCCTCTTTTTTGCGCTCGGCAGCCTGGACAACGGCCGCGCGAACTTCGTCCTGCCGCGCCTTTTCTTCGGGCGAGACAACGTTCAGCAGCGCCATGCTCACCCGCTTTTCCTGGCGCTCATATGTCTTTTGCAGGTCGGCTTTCCTCGCGAGTTCTTGCGCCGCCAACCGTTTTTGATACGCCTACCGTGGTTGTGTAGAATATTCACATTGACGTAGTTTTCTCAATCACATTCGATATTTGAATCAATCGCCAACGGTACAGAAATAAGCTGTCTGTTTGTACCTGGGTCATTTCGTTTTCATACTCTTGCAGGCGTAACTTTTCCACGCGCTTGGCTACAAGCACGCCCATGGGTGTCGCCATATTCTTGTATACGAATTCAATTTAATATAGATACCGTCTTGGAGCTTTTGGTTTTCAACCTTGACCTGCTCCACTTGCAACGCTTTAAGTCGTTTGTCTTCTTCCAGTCGCAAGCGTTCGGCTTCGAGGGCTGCCTACAACAGATAAAACTGTCGAGCAAATCGAAATGCTAGACTAAGGTGGTATGAATGGTTTTTGCCTTGGCTCTGTCCACTTCACGCAGCTCGGCTTGCATCTTCGCCTTCTTTTGCCGCTCTCGCTTCTCATGGGCGTCCGCCACCATGCGGTTAATCTCGGCACTCATTTGCTTTTGCTTTTCCTCTTTGGCCGCTTGCAATTGGGTCAGTTGGTCCTACGATAATATCGTGTTGTATTACGACGATGCTCTTTCATATTGCAGCCCCAAAGCCACACACACACCTTGTACTTGGTCAACTCGAGTTGTTGCTGCTCAAAGTACTTTGCACTACGTTCGGCTTCTTGCTGTCGCCGCCGCTGCTTCTCCTCTTCTTGTTGCATCAGACACGAACGGACGACATGCATACTGTTGACCACCGCGTTGCGTTTGGCGACCTTTTCCTTTTCCACTTCTTGGACTTCGAGCTCGTACAGCTACACCACCAATATATGATTAGTTGTAACATTCAAACTTAAAGGGCACAGTGCACTTACCTTGGCCCATGCATTCGGCGGGCGGTACCGTGGGGGTCGCCGTTGGGGATTGTCTTCGTCAATGTCGAGCTCAGCCCCCCTAGATAGGTACAAACGGCATAGAGTTTAGTTGCAATGCCATGGTATGCATTGCTATGGCTACCGGTTGGGCTGTTGATTGGAATTCCCCCCCCCAGCACTTTTGGCGTCTGGGACTGTACTTGCGCGGGTCTTGTCCTTTCGATGACGTTTCTTTTTCCAATCACTGTGGAGGGCATACTGCGCCAGGTCCTTCGTCACGTACCGAATGGCGAGTTTATTGTCTACTGCTGGTTTTTGGTTCTGCTGCGCTTTTTGCCTTTTATCGGCCAAGTGTTGATGCCGTTCAGCTTCCGCTTGATCCTTCAGTTTCAACGACAGCGCTCGTCCTTGCTTCCGAGCGCGAGCATTCGCTACGAGCTGCCGCTGCGCGTTGGTGAGATCGGCCATCACGTTGACAAGTCTCGATTGGACATTGCTATTTAAAGCCCTTGAAGTGGGAGTTTCACATTCCACCAATACAGTAAGTACTAGTACCGATAATAATATCCTTTTGATGAGTACCAGCTTTTGATAGTATGATCGTAAAATGCATAGCTACAACGCGTGAGCAGCTAACTGTTATCACGCCATGGATACGTCTAATCCATCGCTATTTAGGAGTCAAGATGCCCTCGTTAAGCATCACTTCGAAGTATTGCGTTGCCCGTGTGGTTGGAGTTGGCAAACACTCCATGATTTGTGATTTCAGTTCTAGGAGCTTTCGATTACCGGTACAAGTAGATGCCCTTGATAAAGCGAAACATAGATCATGATTGGTTGCTACCTTGTTACTTCGAAGTACTACTGGAGTATGTAGTGGTCCAGCGGCATATTGCATGACGTGGATTGGATTCTGGGCTAGTACTGCAAACAATCGTCAGGCTGACTTTTCGGAAAGATCGCTCCACATCTCGAAGCGTCGCCATTTCAGCCAATCCAAACTTAGAGATCCCCCGATTGGCAGAATCCAAAACTTCCACGAGAATAATGGGGCTCTATTTATGTACGGGCGTTTGGGAGGCAACAGTTCAGGGCTCATGGCAGACAACCGTGGCCGCGTTCCGACCCCAGTGGTCACGACCCAAGTCGATGCGGGATCGTCATCGCGCACGAACCGACATGCGTGGAGCTTTGTTCAGATGAACATGAGTCTGCTCCCCATTGCGCGGCCGCTGCCCGTGCACACAAGTCCGTCGTCGTTGTTGCAGAAGAAAAAGGCATTGAAATGCAAACCTCGCACTCCGAGCAATCACGCTGCCGACAAACCCGCCAGCATTAGTCCACGTCGGCAAGGGGAGCTGATGCCGCAAGAGCCATCGCCGCCCATGCGAACCCTTCGGGAACTTGTGCTCCGTCGACAAGACGAGTCAGCGTCGTCGTCGACTTCGTTTGTACCCCGCCTTCTCAACCACCGTCCGCGATGTTTCAGCGACGATTGTGGAGACACGAATCCTGACCGTGTCCACCTCCACCACCAGCACGACCGCGGCTACGTGAGCGATGTCGACATGCACACCACCAGTTCTTTGCCCGCGATGATCGTCGTCGAACCCAACCCAACCCCCCCAGCCTCGGAAGACGACGACGACAAAGCGCTAGTCCGCGTAAAGCGCATCTTGGAAATCCTGGACGAAGATCGATGCAAAGAAGATGCCATGCACACACCACCGCCCCGCACTGCCAAGCGGCTTCGGCGATGCGATGTGTAACTTCGTTAATTTATGCGACATCGTTCCCCTTTTTGTGTTTATTCAACAACGAGGGACGGATGGGGGCATACAGCGAACAAAATGGTCTTAATGGAGAACGTCCGAAGCGGCCAGCGTGGCCTTGACTTGGCTAGCCAGCACTTCCTTGGCTACAGCCTCGTGGGTCCACAGCAGGGACTGCTCCAGCCCCTGCTCCACCAGCATCTCGTAGCCCTGGATGCACACCGCGCCATGAGCATGTGCTTGGGCCAGCAGCGGCGTGATAGCTGGCTTGTACGCCGCGTCCATCACGATCACATGCTTGCTTAGCAAATGCTCGGGCAGGACAAAGCCGGCGGCGGCGGGAATGGTGCCCACGACCACGTCCACTGCATCGAGGTCCGTCAACGAAGCGACCGCCGTGCCCCCAAAGCGCCGAGCCACCTGGTGATATTAAACAAAATGAGTTATAAGGCCACATATCTATGAACTACTTACGTCGATGGCCTTGTCTAGTGTCCGATTGAACACCACCAGACGCAACCCGAGCTGCTGCATCGCATAACAAGCGGCCATGGCGGTGCCGCCTGCGCCCACAACCAGCGCCACCTTGTTTGATCGTCTACACATTAAAGTTCATATATGTGACAATGCGCAACATCTCAAAGTGCAATGTGACAGACCCAATCGGAGATGACTCGAGTCGAGCTGCGACAGGGCGACCAATGCCTTTCCAGTCCGTGTTGTCTCCCACGAGTTTGCCGTTGCTACGAGTCCGTGGCGCCACGTCATAACCCATATATATCATCTATAGCAAGGGGTACATACATGGAAAGGATCGTGTTGACGGCGCCGATGGTCGCCGCGGCCGCCGATAAACTCGACAGATGTGGGATGATGTCCAGTTTGTGGGGAATTGTCACAGAACCACCTCCAAACGATCGAGTGTGCATCAGTGCCACACACGTGGCAATGTCTAGAAGAAGATCGATCGATATCAACATATATATATATATATTTGACCAGGAGAAATAAAATACTTCGAAATATATATATATATATATCGAATGCCTACCAGTGGAATCGTGCAGCGAATAAATGTGGGGAAGATGCAACGCCCGGAATGCTGCGTTGTGCATCCGCGGCGACGGCGAGTGTTGAATCGGGCTGCCAAACAAGTAGAATTGTCGGCCTATGTAAGAGTAGACAAAACCAAACGCATTATATTTCGTTTATTATTTAAATATATATATATATATATACTGCAAAGTCCTAGTAGTACTAGTAGAGTCCGTGCACAGTCTATCATATATATATATATAAATAGCCCTGCGTTTTCGTGTATATATATTTGCATGTATTGTGGTGAGTTAGCTACTTACTACCTTGGACCATCCCCAAGGTGCGTCGAAGGGACTCAATCTCGTCAATGGACAACTGACCCTAGTGCCATTAAATCAGCCACTCAGTCGTCATGTTCATCAAAGTTTGAGGCATACCGGGGCCGCCGCGACGGGCAGCGCGGCGTGCGTGACGGGGGTGAGCGTTCGATTGAGCACGCGGCTGAGCTTCCCCGCTTCGGTCGTGCACAGAGCGATGCAGGGCATGTCGAACGGCCATCTGTCTCGGCACTCTTGCGCCACTCGGTGGACCATCAACGCATCTGCCACGTCATACGCTTTGAGCACGACCTTGGCAATGTCCACTTGACCATTCCACGCGCACAAATCAAACAGCTCTACGCAATCTCAGTCCTATGCCAAAGAAATATATATCAACATACCTCGGACCCGCTCGGCAGACGACCGTTCGTGGATGGCGTGAAACGAAGCTAAGATTGCAGAGCCCCGCTACACAGGGAAAGTGATATGTGCAGGTTTGCATATGGGAGGATACGTATTTGAAGCTACATATATAAATATATAGCTTCAAATATATATATATTGATATATACCTTGGAAGCAATCAAGTCGAGTTGGTCAGCGGCAGGCCAGCAACATTCCATGTCGATAACTTCGCATCCCAAAGCAATGCCTACACGTTACAAACACGATGAGCTTTGCACTTTAGGAATATATACATATATGTATACAATCGAGGACTAATAAATAATCTAAATGGCAGATATATATATATATATAAATATATATATTTACCAAATTGCAATAGATCAAACACCCGCTTCGAGTCGTTAGGAAAGGCCCCGCCTTGATCCACCGTTCGCACCGTGTAAATGATGGGAAGTGTCGAAGCTGCACGCAATGCCGCCACCTAAATACAGTTCAATGATACAAGTATATATATATCATCAACCCATAAATTCCATATATAGATATGATCAATTCAATCTATATATATATATTCTGTACGAGATCTATATTATACATTCTCCTCACTTAACATATATATATATACACATACACATATATAGAGTGAGAGCAAGCTATATATTGTGTAATAGATCTACGTTCAGCACGCGCGTCGATCACTATATATATATAGAAACCGCTATATACGCAATATGTATATATATATAGAGTGAGAGTAAGCTATATATTGTGTAATAGATCTACATTCTGCACGCGCGTCGATCACTATATATATATATATATATATATAGAAATCGCTCTTCGATCACTATATACGCAATATATATAAATATATATATAGATCAAGAACCCAGCGAATAAATATTATTCCAGCCCACAACGTACTTGGTGGGCAATAAACGGTTTCTCCACCGACTCGAGCAAGTCCACGCGCAGTTCCACGGCGTGCGCCTTGTGAGTGACCGTCTCAATGAGCGTCTTTTTGCTCGTGTAGTGGGGAAACGTGAGCGATACAAAGTACGAGTCTGGCTGGGATTTGAGCGCGTTCGAGTCGAACCGACCGAGTACGACCGTGACCAAGCGCTCAAAGTCGCGATTGATGCGGGGGTAGTCGACGTCTCCAGCCAGCATTGCAAACACAAACGAACTGGACGCGGCAAACAGCGGGGCGCGGCGGTGGAAGACGTCGGCGATGGCTTCTCCGTAGGCCGGTCGGGACGTGTCATGGGCCAGCGCGGCTTGCACATCCGCCAGCTCCCTTTGCAAGTAGATCACGTTGGACGCTTGGGTGAGCAGCGCGACAGCCGCGGCGCTCTCGACGACTCCCCCGCCGCACGAAATGATGGTGTTTTGAGGAGGATCTTTGGCCCATAGTTGCAAACAAGCCACTTCCTGGGCTCGGAACGCCGCCCACCCGTGGACTGCCACGTATTCCTTGATAGGCATGCCTAATATAGGACAGATACACAAAGTGGGATAACGATGTTATTGCTATTGAGCCTACGAACACTAGGGTCCTAGCTAGCTAGCTAGCTAGGTACATACCCAGCAGCAGTGGATGTGCCTCGAGGTACTCGTCCATGTCGATCCAGTGCAGACCCAACGCGGACGCGGCATGCTTTCCCAGCGATGTCTTGCCCACGCCCCGCATGCCAATGAGGTAGATGGTGGACGCTGCCTTGGTTGCAAGAGGTGGTGGAGGGTACGATGGCACTTGAAACGACACGCGCAAGGCCGTGGAGCACTCGTCCCAAAAGGATGGGAATGTCTTATCCGTACACTCTTTGTCCGTGATGACAATGTGGGGCCAGTACGCCCCCAGTACGGCAAATGACATGGCGATGCGATGGTCGTTGTGGCATGCAATCTTGGCCGGAATGTCTAATATAGATAGATATATACCATCAGAATATATATATATAGATGTATCATAAGAATATATAGATATACCATCAGAATATATGTATATATATATATATATTCCAAGTACGGGTTGTATTGGGGTTGGTGGTTGTTGATCTACGAGAGACTTACTCGGAAAGGTAAGCGGCGGCGTGAGGAGACCACCACCCCGTCCTTGGATCCAAATCCCATCGGGAAGTTCGCCGCTTTCGACGCCGCACTTGGCTAATTCTTCCACCTATATATATATATATAATTTGATGGATGCTTTTTTGTTGTATATAATCAATCAACACGAAAAGGTAGTAGAACATTGATATAATACTTCGAGGATTAAATACACACACACTTGGAGCCTCGAATCGCGTGCACATGTATATCTTTTTTGATAGTTTCAAAACCTTGCAATTATATATTTACATATATATTTGATATATATCTTTACCATGACCGCAATTCGGTTGCACTCTTTAACACGTTGGTTGGCAATGCCAGTGATTTTGGTCCTGCCCGTGGCAGCCGCAGCGAGCACCGCGAGTGTCATAAACGCATCTGTCATGGTCTCCATATCAATCTCAATGGCTTTGAGCGACCCGCGGGGCGGCCCTACGTTCGCCATACATAAGTGGTTCCGTACTATTCGAAGCTGTACCTTGCACGTAGGTGCACGAGTCGTCTTGGCCACCCGTGCACCCCATCGCTTCAAGTGCCTTGCCCACGTATATATGAGTTGTATATGAAGACAGACGAGTGATGAATAGTACCGTAAAGAACGCCGCGTCCCCTTGGCATGACGACTGACCCAGCCCTGGCACGACCACCCGACCGCCGGAAATGGCGGCTAACGCTAGGGGGTACGTGGCAGAGCTGGCGTCCACTTCAACATGCACGCGGGGCGGGTTCGAGTAGACGCCTTGAGGCACCACGAATCGATTCTTGGATCCTGTGTAGACATATTGAATCTCCATATATGATAAGACACGAACCCAGGGTTTGCACGTGAATCCCAAACAATTCCATCAATTGCGTCGTCATCTGAATGTACGGGAACGAGGTCGGGTTGTCTTCAGCTAGTTGCAACTCGAGCGGCGCGTCCGCGTACGGCGCGCTCAGCAGCACCGACGACACGTACTGACTGCTCACCTGGGTTCATATAGTCGATTCAAACATTTTTACAAAAAGAAATACTTTTAAAATTATATACTAGTGTCAAGTGTAGTTAGTACATGCATATCCCCATTCCACAATCCAAACACTAGAACCAACAATTCACAACTCTCCCGTAGTCTGTATAATATATATATATATATATATGCAATTTAAACACCTATGAAGGCTTTTCATGTTGATATAAAACCAAAAAAAACAAGCCAATTTAAATAATATAAATAATAGAAACCAATACTACTACTTTATTCAGTTGAACTACAATACATATATAGTAAGTTTATGAAACACGAAAACACGAGGCCTATATTGTATAAACAATAATATGGTCGAGTAAGTATTAAAAGAGCATACAAATTGTGAACCAAATTAGTTCACAAATATTCCGCTCTATCCTCAAAAGTCATAGCTACACGAGGAGGAGCCACAACGTCGCCATAAAATGATTACATATAAAATGGTTATATATATATATATATACCTTTCCAGCCAAATGCAAGACTCCGCCAGGCAGCCCTGTGGGCGAAATCTCCAATGGAGGACATCCCTTGCGGTTCCCATACTCTATCGCACATCCGTTGGCCACGAGCGCGTCCACCAAGTCCGAAATCGGCCGCTCTTGCATGCGGGCGTTGCCTGTGAGGTGGACCTTTGAGCCCGCCAGGGTGGCCACCGTGGTCAGAAACCGCGCGGCGGTCCCTGCGTTGCTCAAGTACCAGTGACTGGGAACGGATGGTGGGAATTTGCCGGCTGTGCCCACGACCACAAGCACATCGCCGTCGTCTTCCCATGAAAATTGAGCGCCCAAGTACTGCAGCACATCCATCATAACTTGGGTGTCGTCCGAGTGGAGTAGCCCCGAGATGCGGCACGTGCTACCGACACACCAAAATAATATTTTAAAAAACATATTGAATCGAGGGTCTTCCAGTATATATATATATTTTGAAATATTTATATATATATCGTACCCAGCCCCCAACGCTGCCAGAAGCAACACGCGATTCGAAATCGACTTGGACCCGGGAACGTTGACAGTCCCCGAGATGGGTTGAGATGGCGGCACGACCAACACCTAATAAAATACCACCAAACACCATCACCACAAAGAAAATATTAATATTATTAATATTAGTCACCAAACGATGGCATTATAATTTCGTCGTGGCAAATCAAAAACCGTTTATAAAAAAACCAATGATTGAATTTATATTTTCATAATAAAAACATTAGATAAATTAAAAAAATATTACCATATATATATATATATATATACCTGGGGCTCCAGCACATGCGCAATGCGCGAGTCTTCCACGGCCACCGTGAACGGATTCGAGTGGACTTTGCCGATGGACGTGAGCAGAATGAGCTTCTTGATCCCCCCCGAGTTCTTCTTGTCCACTTCCATCCTTTCCAGTACGGTAGCCGTGGCCGCACTATGCCATATAGAATCGTCAAGTCAATTATTCGAATCGACAACATCAACCAAAATGTATAGAACAAAGGAGCCAATCAGATTGCAGAAAACCACCCTCACCATCGAAATAGTGTGTGACTTGAATTAGTGTGATGATCATAACCACCACGGACCACTCTTTATATACAAACAAAACTTTTAAAGTCCAACCAATCGATTGATAGATTTAGCGAACATATAATTAAAAAAATAATAAAAGTCCAATAAATGGCTGTAATATAATAAATATACCGAGAAGGGACTCGAACGGGCAGTCCAAATGCCTTGATACATCGAAGCAACCGACCGACCGTCGCCGATGTACACAGCCCCAAGCCTAGGATACAACGAAGATCATAAGTACATATATGACCTATATGTATGCATGTACCTCTGGCGATTTCGGCCTCCTTGACCATCCCGATGGCCACGCATTCGCCATGCAGTAGCTCGGGTTGCATGATCGCTTCAATGCCATGGCCAATGCTGTGGCCAAAGTTGAGGATCGCACGCAATCCCTACCGATGCGATTCGTGGTTTGTTTCAAACGTGTTTTAAACGTGTTTTAAACGTGTTTCGTACGTGTTCTTTTTCATCTTCGTCGACGACGGTGGTTTTGATCGCAATGGACGCGGCGACCATGGAGAGCACCACGTCTTGCTTGAGCGCGAGAATCGCATCGACGTTCGATTCCAGCATCGAAAATAGCGCGTCGCTGTAGATGGCACCGGCCTTGATGATCTCCGCCATGCCTACCACGTCCTGAGCATGAGTCTGAAGGATAGATGGATGGACGGCATGGTGGCGTACCGTTGATGAGTTCGCGCTTGGGCAGCGTCGAGAGCAAGTCCAAGTCGACAAATACACGCTTGGGCTGATGGAATGCGCCGACGAGGTTCTTCCCTGCTTCGACGTCGATGCCGGTCTTCCCCCCGATCGACGAATCCACACATGCGAGCAAAGAGGTCGGGATTTGAACGAACGGCACTCCTACATACATACGCCCATGATGAAGTGCGTGCATGAAGCGGCTATGATGGTGGTTAAGCCTACCTCGCATGTACGTGGACGCGACAAACCCCGCGAGGTCACCGACAACACCCCCGCCCAAAGCAACCACGCAACAATCACGGTGCATGCGCTTCTCCAGCATAAAGTCCTCGATCGCGGCTTTCATGCGACGGTTCTTGCTTGCTTCGCCGGCGGGAATCACGTACAATTCCGCGCGCCGTTTGAAACCTTGCAGCAGCGTCTGCGCATACAACGGCGCGACATTCGAGTCACTCACGACGATGAAGCTCGTAATGTTGGGCAGCAGCTGCAGCAGTTGGCTTGGCACTGACGCCAGGAGGCCATGTCCAACTTGGACAACGTAGTCCTTGCACGGAATTTCTTGCATCTTTGAAAATGAGTCCACGGAAGTGCCCTCACATAGCGTTTGGCCAATCAGAGGTCCCGAAATTCCGGTTAAACATGAATGCAACCGGACATTGTGGCGTAGTGAGTGCTAAGATTTCAAACTTGTACTACCATTATACCTACTTATTGAATACAATAAATAGCATTTGAAAGGCTAGATATTATATGATGCATATATATATCTACATGGATACCTCACATAGTTTGACTTGAATGATGTGGCAGGCTGGATTGCATGTTTAATCGAGAATGGCATATTCTTCTGGCTTGTCGACGCACGACAATTCAAGATGATCATGGCGGCGGCATGGAAGGAGATGAATGTGCTGCAATACAGTACTGTAGCTAACTACAGTAAGGTTATCCCGTGCCGTGTAGCATGACGATAACAATGCAGTTATCCCCAATGCCGTAGCGACCTACCATGTACATCTATCTATACATCTCTAGCATGACCGTGCATTCAAATGGGCATCGTCCAATCTCCACAGATTTCTGTAGCTCGACTCAACGAAGTGGGGCTAATCAGTGCAGAGCACGACTTGGACATCGTTCTTCCCATAACGTTATACAAAAACCCCTCTAGTCAATGCATGTAAGCATGCTGGCAGCACTTCCCTGCGCCGCACTTCGACGAGCTGTCCATTTGTTCCCTTTAGTTAATATGCGTTTTGGGTAGTCCCCCCTCCAATTTCTGTTTACCCCCTACCCACCCCCCAGTCGTTTTTGTCACAAGCGATCCAACATCATCATCATCTTGGTCTGTGGGCGGCTGTCATGGTGTTCTGTGCCGAGTGCGGAAGTCGCTTTGAAGACGACACGTCGCGCTTTTGCGCAGAATGCGGCGCTCCTCGTGAGACGATCGAAGTTGCCATGCCTGCTCCTTCTCCAGTAACTCCAATCTACCCTCCGTCTACGGCCGTGACGTATTCGCCACCCCCTGTGACACCTGCCGCCCCAATCTACACTCCCCCATCCGTGGCGACTGTAGCTCCCGTCAACACGTACCCGACACCATCCACGCCTTCTATCGCTACTTCGTCTGCCAATTGTTCGTCGTGTGGCACGCTTTACGCTGATGCGACCGAGCGCTTCTGTGGCGACTGTGGGCAGCCTCGGCAATTCGTCCAACAAGCGACTGCTGTACTTGACGACGACGACGAGGATTTGTTTGGCGCACCGCCGTCGTCCGCATCTTCGATCCCACCACCAACCCCGTTCCACCCACCTAGTCCCATGCTTGAAGCACAGGGAACAACACCCCCATCATCTTCTTTGGAAGTTCCCAAGCTTGGCAATTACCCTGGTGCAGCACTTGTTGCTGCGCAGTTGGCTGGACTCACTGGTATATCCTCCTCCTCCTGCATCCTCGACGACGTTACACGATGCCATGTAGTGAAATCGTCCAAGCCCGCGGCGCCCGCCCCCGTGGACGTGCATGGGACTGGCGCGGGTATCTCCATCCTAGACGTTGTGACTGCTCGCGACATGGACACGCTTCCGATTCGCCATGCCATTTCCACAGGAATCGACCACAATCGGTCTCGTCCGAGTCATACCTCGGGGGCCTTCCACTCCACCCCCGTCCGTACAACACACACATATACATCCGACATGTACATACATCTAACACAATGGAACTACAACAGGTGACTCCGCAGTGCACAGTGCACCAAAATGTCCAGCTAGGGCCATCGCCAGAGGAAGCTTTCTACGCATCGCGAACGCTACCAGACTCGACGGAATGGACCGCCTTGTTGCGGCAACACCGCCATGCCAAGACCCAATTCACAGGTCGCTACAGGATGTAGTACGATTATTAATCACGTTTCTGAATGTTATTGATTGAATTTTAAAAGTATTATATTGTCCTTCTTTTACCCAAAATGTGGACTTTGTGCGGATTCTTTGCCAACTCTATCGATTTTTTGTATTGACTTTTGTATGTCAAAATCGTCCAATGTTACATTAATTGAAGTCACACACTAATTCCATGTTGGATTGGCCGAAGAGTGGACTTAATTGGCTACTTGATTCGTGATCTGGATTTTGATTGGTTGACCGATTTGGTGCTGCTCATTCGATTGTGAGCACCCTACTTACTCCAAGTTCGAATCGACTGAACAATATATATATATATATATAAAATTACTGTTAACGACACACTGAAGTTTATGTGTATGTCTTATACTCCATGTATTTTGGCCAATCCGACGCAGCGATTATAAATCAAGTGGTTGGACTTGTCGAGATGGAATTTTTCAAAAGTAATCCGACGTTCAGAATATAGAATTTACATCAATTCCTCACAAATCCATCGTTTTCTGTATATATTTATAGTTGATATATTCTCATCCAATATGCATAGACCCTGCGTTTCCGCCGTCGTTGGCGTCGTTATATCGCGACCCTACGCGCCCCATGACGCCCCCAGGAACGACCGCTCTCGACTCGGTCGTGTGGAAATGGAAGCGCATTTCCGACCTATTTTCCCACCATGCGTACGTTCGTTTCCAATGTCTCTATAATATGAGTTAGTCAATCTATATATATATATATATATATATATTGTGCTTTCGAGTGAAATTTCACTGTGTTGTGGTTTCTGGTTGGAATTTAAATCGATTTGATTGGCTACTTCAGATGAGCTCAAAATTATTAGCCAATCAAAACCCATTTCTCAATGAAAGAAGAATTCAACCAATCAGATCGATTGTGGATCGGTTTGGTCGATTCGATTGCACCGCGTCCCCAAATTTGTATCAAATTGACAATATATTATTCATTATCTTTATAGATATGTCGAAGTCTCGATCTTGGACGACGACCAAAAACTCGTGTGTGGCATCGCCATGAAATCCCCGGCCGAAGCCGAGAGCATGCTCGAAACCATCCGCGGTCAGCAGACCCAAGTCATCGACGCCCGCTTCCTCCTACGAGCCACGGACGCGGTCACGGCGGCGCTGCACAAGAAGCGCACTGAGCATTTCCTCAACCTCACGCGACCGTTGATGGAATCCATGCAAGAGCGAGTCGCTGATGGCAGCATCACCAAGTACGAGCTGCTGTGGCAAAAGAGTCTGCTCGACGCATACAAACCACTGGTCTTTGCCGGCGTCGGCACTCCCTATGGCTACCGTTTGGACGGTTGGAATATATATATATATATATATATATATTTAATTATTTTTGTTTAGGCTATGGGACGTCAGTGTCCAAGGTGCAAGTGCTCGTGCCAATCCAGTTCCAAGCCCAACAAGTATGCTTGTTTGATCGAGAAATTACGTCTGGCGCCAGCTGCAAGCCCGGACGTCTGGCCGACGGCTACTTGTTTGGAGCGCTCTCGATGCTGTCGACATCCCCCACGGCACTCTCGCAGTTGTTTCCACGTCCGTATCAACGTTTGAATATATCTCGCTCTCTAAATATATATATATATATATATATATATATATATGTTTTTGACATTTTATTTGATTCATTTTTGAATACTAGTGTTTATTCTTCTTATTTTTCAAATTTCGATGATTGTGTTGGTTTAGATTTGTTTCTTATTTGTAGCATGGAATGTATTGGCATATTTTACAAGATTTGAGTATTGTAAGACTTGATTGTTCTTTCTCAATTTATTTTGTATCATTTTTCAAAAGTTTAGTCTATTTTTCAATATTTTACCATTGTAATGAGCAAGATTGCATTATTATTTTGGTAATTTTATGATTATGGTAAAAGCTTTGAAATATATATTAATTTTTTGATAGGACTCACGGGGGATTTGGTGCAGCCGCACATGGTGTGGCCGAGTCCGCACGAGTTGGAGCAACAGTACAACGACGAGGGTGTGTATTGCGTTCGGTTCTGGCGCAACCACAAGAGTTACCTTGTGAGTAGTACATAGGAATGCAAAGATATATATATATATAAATTCTGGACTCTATAGCTTGATAATCTATACGTCGAGTGTTTATTAGGTGGTCGTGGACGACTATATCCCGTGCAACCATAACGGCAAGCCCGCGTTTGCTTCGTTCACTGGCACCGCCTCTCGCTTTGAGATTTGGTCTATGCTTGTGGAAAAAGCATATGCAAAACTGTATGGCGGGTACGACATGATTGTGGGCGGCCAAGAGCTATTTTGCCTGCAAGACCTCTACGGTGGACTTCCGTCGTCGTATCCGTACGTTTTCGTATATGGCTTTAGTTGATTTTTATATACTAATCATGATTAGAACAAGCAACCTCCAAGCGAATGCGAGTGCTCGGTTGAGTCAGGTAACGACGATTGCTTGAGATTTTCTGTTTGACCGGCGGTAGCGTAGTCGTTAAAACGAGGGAATTTGATCGGCTTGACCAACACGACCAACCACTCGGTGGCGATGCCGTTGGGCCTAAAGGCAGGGCATGCGTACGGCCTGGTCAAGATTGCCCAGCTGCAGGTCCAAGGCCAGCTCGAGACGGTCGTGCAGCTGCGGAATGTATGGTCGGACGCGTCAAGTGATGCCGCGGCGGCGGGGGTGCCGTGGGCCCGTGGGGGCGCCGACTGGAAGCAGTGTTCGCTCCATCAAAAGCAGCGCGTGGGGTACCAACTCGCCGACGACGGCACGGTACAGACAGAAATATTATTTCTAAAGGGATTGATATATTATTGCTATGTCAAGATAGGACGGTTTCCCCTGACTAATATTCCATTGTTCATCGTTCACTGTGGAAGTTTATATATATTTTAAAACTTTTGTGGTATTGTTATTTTTAATGTACTCGTATTTTTTTAATTTTTTATCACATTCACACATCTATGTATCTATTTCTATTCGTATTCTTATTATTTTTTATAGATATACATAATATATATACGAATGAATGTGTCGAACGTAGGTGTGGCTGACACTGGCGACGTGTTTGGCCTTGTTTTCCACTGTGTTGGAGTCGAGAAATGTATATCAGTTTCCGTCGGTAGACCCGCGGGATGTGGACGCGGTGCCGTTGTACGTGCATGTGATTGCAAGTGGATGGAAGGGCGTCACGTGTGGCGGCCGCGAAGCCATCCACTTGAACCCGCAATTTCAATTCACCACTGCAGGTACAGTACATATATATATATGTACCTGAATATATATATATATATATGTACCTGAATATATATATATATATATATATGTAGTAGTAGTGGGCATGTGTTCTTTCATGGCAAAGTATACATTGTGTGTTGTACTCAAAATATATTTCCTCCTGGTTGAATGAACCGCCGAACAATCGCCGGACCTTGGAAATTTCATATAAAACTAAATTGAAGAGGTATCTTTATGCCTGCAATACTACAATCCATCTTTTCAGCCAATCAAATTGCAACCTGAATTCTTTGTAGCCAATCATACTCCTTTGCTCGATTAGTTGAAATCCCCCAAAATAGCCAAATTTGACTGTGAAATTATGTACAATATATATATATATATATATATGATGGATGGTAGACGCGACAGACGTGGTGGTCCACGTCGAGCAGCCATGCCGACGAGCCAACATGCAAGCCGACTACCCATGCTTCGTGGCTCCCGTGGTGGCAGCCCACGCAGTCGTCGGCCGCCGCAAGCTGGACGTGGCCAAGGACGTGATCGCCACGGGCACATTCGTGTCGAATCGCAGCTGCCTCGTGGAGCTATCGCTGCCGTCTGAGGGGACGTACGCCGTCATCCCAGCCACGTACGCGCCGTTCGAGTCGGCGTTTCAGGTCGTGGTCGTGTCGCCGGTGCCCCTCGCTGTTGGGTTCGTCTCAGACGACGATATCCCCGTCTGCAGTGTGTGTCGCCAGCCGTTGAAAGGGTCGTACAGAACGTACACGTCCCCGTACGAACTAGTAATACTAGTTAGGACCTGTGCATCGTCAGCACGGAATGGATGGATGGCAATGTGATGATTGGATGTGTGTATGGGTGTATGTATATGCAGGGATGGAGTAGTCGCCGAGCATGTATGCCAAGGCAGATGTGCCGATGAGTACCGATCGATGCATGCGCCAGTGTGTGTGGACTGCCGCGAGCGCATCGAAGTGGTCGCGGGGCGCTTCTCTGGGCGCCTCTTCACGTTGGAAGATGGCACGTCATGTCATGCAGAATGCATGGACAACTATCGTATCCGCCATGCAGATTCGTGTGTGCACTGCCACGACGCGATTGTCCAAATTAAAGGTACAGAGCGGATACTGTATATATATTCAGTTGGAGTTTGTTGCTTGTTTAGTAGGGTTGCAAAAATAGTACTATTAATGGTAGTGAACTATATATATATATATACTGTATATATATATATTGCAGAACAATAGAGATGTGTTATCACTCGTAATATCCTCGGGTGGTTTTGGTGGAATAAACCAACCCCACATAGTTTAGGAAGTATTATCGTTATGCATTCGTATTAGCCAATCATATTGCAACCTGCATTCATTTTATCCAATCATACTGCTTTGTTCGATTTCTACAATCCCCCGAAATTGGCACATATGGGTGAAAAGCCCAATCCCATGTGCAATGAATACTGTAATTTGGAGATTGCCCTGTTTCAATAGGAAAATTCGACGGTAAATTCTTTGCGCTGGACGGCGGAAAAGGCAAAGTGCATGCCGAGTGCATGGAGGCGTACCAGCTGTCGATTGCGAAGAAGTGCCATGAGTGCGGGCTGGCCATCGTCAAAGGCGGCCGCTTCGACGGGCGGTTCTACCAGCTCTCTGGCTCGGAAAACCAGGTGCTGTAGAGATAGTTGAACCAAATATATATATATATATATGTAATTCGAGGGATAGGTGCATTTCGAATGCTGGGAGGCGTTTCAAGCGAGCGCTGCCCCCAAGTGCCGCCACTGCCGCGAGCCCATCTTGAAGATCGAGCCCAAATTTGACGGCCGCTTCTACGACCTCAACGACGGCTCGGGCAAAGTGCACTTTGAGTGCTGGGATGCGTTTCGACAGTAGAGTTGACAAGACCGAAATAACGAACCAAACATGATGCCTTTTTACACTTTGCAAGAAAGCGAGCACGGCAGCTCGATTATTTCTTTGCAAACGTGCATATATATATATATATATATATATTATATATATAGTACTACTAAGAACTACTGATATTATGTATTCAATTCGAAGTTGGAGTGGGTAGTCCAATCGAATAGCGGCAGCCCAAACGCAGTCAATCGACTAGCCAATGAAATATCTTCAATCATCCCAAATCCCAACCAATGGAGTTGGAAGGGCAGGTAGCAGCAGCAGCGAGGTGAGTACCGGAAGTGAATTAATTCTGACGGCAGAGGAGAAACTGGCTCTAGATGTGCCAGTTCCTCCAACAGCCAATCAAATCTTAGATTATGATTGGCCACGACATCCTGTGATGTTTTGTGACGAATCTGCGCTGTCTTCTACTACTGCGCTGTCTTCTACTCTGAGGAAAAGCCTCTAGAAGGCACAAAAACCTCCTACACAGCTATACACCCTGTTCTAGAGAACATCCCCACTGCCCTGTCAGTCAGGTAGCAGCGTCTGATACAGTAACTAATTCATTTTTATCGAAGGAACGAACAGAAAATGTGCTCGAAACGGTCGTACGAAAAAAGTTTTTGAAATGGTGGAATAATTCATGGTAGCTTAGCTGACTGTGAAAACCATTTCAATGCAGCAGGAGTAAAGGCTGTTAAAGAAGATTTTTGCATTTCCCCAAATTCCTCAACCCTAGACCACACCCCAGCACCCCTAGAACCCACCACACATCGCCACACCATCACACATCCACACACCCTCTCGTACACCCACACGCATCGGCATCAGAATCAACCCTAGAACCCGGCTCGTCACCCCCCAGACGAGCTTCATTGGAGTGTCGCACTCAAGGTGTTGCGAGTGCCAAAAAAACACGAATCCAGTGAGTTGATTCTGACACAAGCCATGTCTAGTTTATGACGACACACGTTGCAGTGGGTGCAAATGACATCAGGACAAACGACTGAGACGATTCACAAACGCAGCTTCCGTCGAAAACTCACTGTGTCGTTGTCAGTTTAAGTAAATAATTCAAACCAAACGGGAGCAAAAGATTGAGAGAGAATAAGCCAATTATATCCAACAAAACAACTCAAAACCAAAAATAGAAAATATGCCAACATAAATCATTTGAAGGATACTTTATATCCATAGGAGGATAACTCAACCACCTTCAAAACACGTGAAAGCCACAAAGCCTCCAACCACACGCATCGAGTATACAATGGACAATACCGAACGTTGAGAGTTTTCAACAGAGTTGCATCACATTGCCAGAGAATGTGGGTCGAGAATCCACAAGTGGTAGTACACTTGACCAATCCCAACGCTACGTGGGTCCACGGAAGATGCGACCCCGTCAAAATGGGAAGCGAGAGAAGAAGAGTCAAAAAGGTTCAGATGCAACTGACGATCCAAGCATAGCTGGGGGGCAGTCAAGTCCTGTGCACTCGACCACAGGTGGTGGTGCGCTTGCAGCTGTCTCGCCAAAAACAATCATGAAAAGGGAATGTCAAAGCAAGGACATTTCACGAGTGTGAACTGGCACACTTGTGCCTGCCTGGCCGGACGCCACGTCAGCTTCTCTGATGCTCTGATGAGGATTGAATCCCTTGTGATTGGTTGGTATTCTTCAAAATCAGCCAATCCAAATACAATATGTCGAGTTTCAGCCAATGGGAGACTATCCAGACATTGAACTGCAACAACATTATCCGGAAACCGAATCTCCACACCCATTCACATTTTCAACGTCCAAGCAACATGATCGCAGGTGCGTGGGACGGGACGACATCAACGGCTTCGTCCTACACGCCTACCAAGAGACAAAAGCTCTCTCAACCGAGTGGAGCAACGATGACTGCGACTGCTGCACCGACGACTGCAATACCAACGACTGTTTCAACTGCATCAGCTGTTGCATCAGCTGCTGTGACTCTGCCCACAACTGCCGATGATATTCGCCACTTTATGAGTGCTATTGACCTCCACGACGTTGCACGTCACTTCGACAACAAAGACGACGATGTCAATCCCTATTTCGTGTGCGACGGCGTTTCGATTGCCGCGTTCAATGCGTACGTTCGTGGTCAGGAAAGACTGCGGGTCGGACTTCGCTTTCTCCAACTCAGTGGCGATGGACGTCTTTTGATCGTCGAGCTTCCAAATTCAACAGTACACGAGAGCACAGCCTGGGAATTCGGACGCGAATTCTACAGAGCGACAGTAAATGATCGCGAGGTTGCAAGTCGTGGCTCAATGACAGCGAGCAGAGATGCGCTCCCAGACAAAGAGGCCGACGCGAGTTTTGGGCCACGACGAACCACGCCACATCGAAACGCGCCACCGCAAGGTCGTACGATTGCTGATTGGTTGACTCTGGTGGTGGAAGTTGGCCTGTCTCAAACTTGGCCCCAACTGATCGCTGCTGCCACGTGGTGGTGCGGTTATGCTGGGATTGAGTACATCTTGCTGCTCAAAGTCAGTGCCGATGCGACGCGGTTTGAATACCGTTTCTACGACATCGTCACACCTGGGGTACTTCCCGACGTGCCAACACGCGGTTTTCAACAAAGCATCAGACCGGATCCACGTGCTATCAACATCGAATTCAACATGCGCCGCATCTTGTCCATCCCCCCAAATCAACCGCTTCCTCCCGGAGTGAACCAAGTCGCTGTTGTGAACCTCCGCGACATCATGGATTCTGTCATCAGAAGCATTTGAGAAGTGGATTTTAAGGCTCGAGCACTAATCAAAAGCAT